GTTGGGGTGGGAGGTGGAGGGATGTACACTCGGAGGCTGGAAGTAGGGGCAGGTGAGGAAATCGAAGACATGGGAGCAGGAGATGGGAAAGGAAGCACCGGAGGTACAGTCAGGTGGGGAAATGGGGAGTGAGAGTGATATATAGTGAAATTCTTGCCATAAAGAAAGAAATGTGTGGCTGGGAACTGGTTGTGTATATATTTGTTCCATCAATGAGGACAGCGTGATATTCTTGAAAATTGTTTAATTGTTTTGTACTGCTCTTAACATGAGAACAGATGATATGAAAAGAAGTATATTGGGAAGCCTGGGTAGGGATAGGTGGGGAAATAGCTGACATGGGAGTAGGTTTGGAAATGGGAACTATAGTGGTTGCGTGGAAGTAGGGCAGGTGGGGAAATGAAGGACATTGGGGGAGGGGTGGGGGGTGGGAGGTGGAGGGATGTACACTCGTAGTCTGGAAATAAGGGCAGGTGAGGAAATCGAAGACGTGGGAGCAGGAGAGGGGAAAGGACGTACTCTCGTTGGCCGGAGGTACGTCAGGTGGGAAAATGGGGGACATTGGAGGAGGAGAGGTGAAGTACATTGTTAGGACGGAGGTAGGGGCAGGTGGGGAATTGGAGGACATTGGAGGCGGGGAGGGGAAGGGAAGAAGACTGGTAGGACGGGGGTAGAGCAGGTGGAGAAAAGGAGGACATTTGAAAGGAGAGGGGAAGGGAAGTACATTGTTAGGACGGAGGTAGGGGCAGGTGGGGAATTGGAGGATATAGCAGCAGGAGAGGGGATGGGGAGTCCACTGGTAGGACGGAGGTAGGGGTAGGTGGAGAAAAGGAGGACATTTGAAAGGAGAGGGGAAGGGAAGTACATTATTAGGACGGAGATAGGGGCAGACGGGGAATTGGAGGATATAGAAGCAGGAGAGGGGGAGGGAAGTTCACTGGGAGGACGGAGGTAGGGGCAGGTGGGGAATTGGAGGACAATGGAGGAGGAGAGGGGAAGTACTTTGTGTGACGGATGTAGGAGCAGATATAGGAAAGGGGGTACATGGGAGTTTTTGTGGAGAAGGGAAGTGAGGTGGAAGGCCTGAAGTAGGTACAGACAGGGAAACGAAATGGAGACAGGACACAGAGAGAAGCAGGGAAGAACAGTGGTTGATCTATAAGGGTTCGAAACTGCAAGTAGAAACTGGTCTTGAATTTGATGACATGGGAGTAGCCGTGCTCAAGGGAACTATTGTGAACGGTCGGAGGTATGGACTGGTGGGAAATTAGGGTCATGGGTTATGAGAGAGGATGGGAAGTAAAGTGGGAGGACGATGGTAAGAGAGAAAATATATTAAAATTGAAATTCAGAGGTCGTGTAGCATTGTCCTCAATGGAATAGTGCAATAATTCCTTTGTTAAGCCTTGTTAACGTATTGAGACCATTTGTGAAAATTTATGTCAGATTAACAGGAGAAACCTGATATGAACAATAGGTCTGGCACACTGTAATCGGCCACGGACCATCTCTTGGGACTTGTACAACTAACGTTGAACACTGCCACACCTGTCTCCAGCTACATGTGATATGGCTAGGGTATTTCTAATTCCAAATTAACATACCACTTTTGGTTTCAACAAAGAGAGTAAACGCGCCAGCATGTGATTCGATTTCTGGTCCATCATTTGATTGTCTGGATTGTTTACATGCTCCCGTGGCATGGCAGGAGTACTGCTGTGTTGTGCCAGGAAACAAAGATATACTTTCTTATGCAAACTATGCAGGCACTACCCGTAGGGCAGGTAAAGGTTTACCATTTTCGTGAGCACCTGGTGTCATCACTGATTTTCAGGCAAAAAGATGTTCATGGCTATTTTGCCCTTTTGAGCAACTGAATTTGCTTATTTTATGACAAGGACGTTTAATAATTTACAGCAGTATAAAACCATACACAGTCCTCAGTTTCTATGTTGCTTTTAATTAAAGGAATAAAAAGGTAATTGAGCTTGGGAATGACATTATTTCCGTCATGTTATGTCATACATTGGTCATAAATAAACTGTTTCGGATTTCATATGTCAGAAAAGGAAGTTTCATTGTTTTTATATTTTCATAAGACACATTCTCTTAATAGTTGAGAGAATGGCTCTGCCAAATGTACGAGCTGACATTAAATTACTGTGAAAATGCCACAAGTACATCTATATGAGACAAATCTGTGTCTCAACCGTGTATTGCTCAGGAAGAAGTATATGATGTGAAACAATATATTCTTGATAAATCAATGCATGTGTCATCATTGCTCATCAGAGTGACCAACCTTTTGTGTCCAGATCATGAAACATTTACCGTTCACCCGAGCTTGTCTTTAGAATGTGTTAGTGACAATAGCTGCTAGTTGTGAAAAGTGATCTATGGAGGACCAGCTGTGACATGCATATTATATCAACTTATGATCAGTGCTCATCAGAGTAACACCTTTTGGTTTCCATATTAGAAAACTTTTACCTGTCACCCATTCTTGTCTTAAGAATGTGTAGGTCAAATCAGCTGCTGGCTGCAAATATTACTTGATGGAGGACCAGCTGTGACCTGGTTTGTTGTGTGTCATCGTGGTTTGTCTGGTCCAGACTGGATTACCTTACATGCCGCCACATTACAGCTGTAAAATTACCCATTACTTCAATCACTCACCCATTGACCTGTTAACCATAACATGTTCCATGTGTGTGTTGCTGCATTCAGAGAAACACCTGAGGCTATAGAAGTACAATACAGCTGTATCTGTCTATTGGTTTGGAAAACGATACAGGTACTCACTCACATCTTACCAAGTATGTTCAACATTTGTTTTACTCACATCAGAGGTATTCATTCTCACCTTGACAGTCAAACAAAAATATTTCTGATCTTTTGTGAGAAAATACCTCAATGGACACATCATATGTTGTCTCTTGTCACTATATTGCGACAATATTGCCAGTATGATGTAACGTTTAGCTTACAGTCAGACACAGTAATTAAAGCAACTGCTCACATGTTCTCTTAATATCTGGTGCTAAGTATCTGACAAATAATCAAAGTAAAATTAAAATCTGATACTCCCGAGAATATTTTTAGTCACGAGTGATGCACAAAAATCTCAAAGTTATATATTTGTGGGATTAATGAGGGTGCCTACCCCCGTTTGGGAATGCTGATGCCCATATTTCAATGTTGAAAATTATTTGTCGTCTTTTTTTTCTTGAAAGGAGTGACAATTCAATGACACATTTTGCTCGAAGCTTACGAGCATGCTTAGCCATGCATTGTTTGTGAAATGCCAGTTTAATTTACTTGCATCAGCTGTTAACACTGATATGGCTCAAGGACTTCTGACAACTTATTGTTGCAATTGGTTCAAGTTAAATTGTTCTCGTCAAGCAGTGTTTGTGTGACATTGAGGATTAAAATCACAGAACATAATGGTGGCTTTTCGTTGAAGATATATGCTGATAGTTCATGACCACTCACAGTCAGATACAGTGATTGACATCTCCAAGATAATGCTGTTAACTATCTATTATTGTTTCTTGCTTATACCTTGCTTAGCAATATACTTTTATTCAAATTGTTTCACTACCTTTACTAACCACACAATTCAACTTCAGTTATTGAAATAAAACATAACTACTACTTAGACTGCAAAGTGATATTTTATTATAAAACCATTGAAGACATAAGTTAGAAACAAAAACATGTTTTTTCATTTACATACTAAATAAACGGCCTCCAACCTCCCCTCACAGCCGTCCCTTTCCACTCTTCTCATACACTTACAAAACTGTACAGTGACATGTTTCCACAGTCTATTTTTTGTTACTTGATAGTACAGACAACATTTTGATGGTTCACAGTGAAAAAACAAGAAAGAGTAGGATAGTAGAGACAGCATTAAGAAAATAGATAGTACAAGACAGGAAAGAGTAGGATAGTAGAGGGAAAATGAAGATTATATATAATACAAGAGAGGAAAGAGTAGGATTGTAGAGACGAAATTAAAATTATAGATAGTACAAGACAGGAAAGAGTAGGATTTACATACTAAATAAACGGCCTCCAACCTCCCCTCACAGCCGTCCCTTTCCACTCTTCTCATACACTTACAAAACTGTACAGTGACATGTTTCCACAGTCTATTTTTTGTTACTTGATAGTACAGACAACATTTAGATGGTTCACAGTGAAAAAACAAGAAAGAGTAGGACAGTAGAGGGAACTTTTAGATAATAGGTAGTACAAGACAGAAAAGAGTAGGTTGTAGAGGGAACATTAAGATAATAGATAGTACAAGACAGGAAAGAGTAGGATAGTAGAGGGAACATTAAGATACTAGATAGTACAAGACAGGAAAGAGTAGGATAGTAGAGGGAAAATGAAGATTATATATAATACAAGACAGGAAAGAGTAGGATTGTAGAGAGGAAATTAAGATTATAGATAGTACAAGACAGGAAAGAGTAGGAAACTAGAGGGAACATTAAGATAATAGATAGTACAAGACAGGAAAGAGTAGGATAGTAGAGGGAAAATGAAGATTATATATAATACAAGACAGGAAAGAGTAGGATTGTAGAGAGGAAATTAAGATTATAGATGGTACAAGACAGGAAAGAGTAGGATACTAGAGGGAACATTAAATGGTAGATAGTACAAAGGTGGAGAAAATGGGATAGTAGAGAGGACATCAAGATAGTTGGTAGTACAAGGAAGGAAAGATGGTGATCGTAGAGAGAAGAAAATTGAATAACAGGCAGTACAAGAGAAGGATAGGAGAGACGACAATAAGATCGTAGCTAGTACAAAATACCAAAGTGTAACAGAGTAGAGAGTGAGTGAGTGAGTAAGTATGGTTTTACGCCGCTTTTAGCAATATTCAAGCAATATCACGGCGGGGAACACCAGAAATGGGCTTCACACATTGTACCCATGTCAGGAATCGAACCCGGGCCCGGGTCTTCGGCCAGACGAGCGAACGCTTTAACCACTGGGCTACCCAACCGCCCCAACAGAGTAGAGAGACAGCAGTAGGATGGTATAGTAGGAAAATGGGATAGTACAGAGTGATGCATCAATCATTGGTACTGAGAAATGTTTGAAGGGAAGAACAGAATAGCAGAGAAGGTAGAGAAGAATAAAATAACAAAGTACAGATGTGAAGGAAAGTACAAAGTTGAGTAGTGTAGGATAGTACATTGTACAGTAGTGTAGCACAGTAGGTGGTAGTACAGAGTAGGGTAGTGTATGGCAAAACATAGTAGAGTGACAGTGCATGGTAGAGTAGTGTCAGATTGTACATAGCAGAGTAGTGTAGGATAGTACATAGTGCAGAAGTGTAGCACAGTAGATGGTAGTGTAGAGCACAACCGTACTGCAAAAACAAGGACTATAAGCAAAAGACATGTTGAAGATAATGTATAAACATTAACCTAACTACACACTAATCTATACCTACCTGTTCCCTGCCCCTTACAGTGTTTAGAAGAAGTCCCTGGTGCCAGACGAGAGACTGGAGCTGTACTCAGCCAGGAGAGCTTCCAGGTCCTCCAGAGTGTCCTGGGGCTCCTCCAGTCTTGCCTGCTTCACAGCTTGGGGCACCTCGCTGTTGTCATCTGGGCACTTCCTCTTGCGTGAGGGCAGTGACTCCTTGATGAGCTCAGCAGTGGGTTTCTTCTTTTTCCTTAAAATGAGTTTGGTAAGATACAGATATTCCACATCATATTCATCATCAGAGTTGGGCTCACATCTGTCCACTGACTTGGCAGAATTTACACTTACTGTTGCAACAGTGACACCACCTGACTTAGGACTCTCTGATGCCGAAACAACCTTATCCTTTACATTCTTAACAGGGACAGGGAATGTCTTGCAACCTGTACTGGGCAAGACAGGCGTTGGCTTTAAGTAAGCACCGTCAGCAGACAACAACTGTTCAGCAAAACTAATGTTAGGTGAGGCCTTAATGATACTATTTCTACCCGCAGACTTGGTGATATGGTTCCCCAGGGATCTGCTCTTGGCTTTGATGTGCTGAGCTCCAAGAGGCTGAGGAACAAAGTAGGGCTTGCTCTCTGGCTGATACTTTCTCATTGTCTCCTTCGGAATGCGAGGCTTTGGCTCAGGTTTTGGCCTGAATGTGCGTGGCTTGCGTTTGCAGGGCTTGAGCTCTGGTTTTCGCTTTTGATGGACATTGAGTTTGGGGTAACTTGTTGTAGGCATGGCAGGAGTTCCAACATGGGCTATAGACTGGGGATGAGGAACTGGACTGGGTGGGTCAAGTTGGGGCAGAACACAGGAGAAGGCCTAATGGGCGATATAGTCATGCATTGTATCATTTTTATGTTTCATGATCACGTAAGTACAAGTATAATCATCTTTTGAATATGGTTTTGAGTTTTAAAATCATCACAAAAAAAGAATACCCCTGCATACCTCTGGTCTCATCAGCTCCAGGTCTAGCACTGAACTGGGCAGGCTGATAGGCGGCTGGCTGACAGGTATCATCTCTCTACGTCTACTGCAAGGTGGTCGCTGGACTGCAGGAGTAAGGGGGATACCAGTCAGAGATGTCTGAACTCCAGGCTGCAGGAGTCTTGGTTGTGGGTAACCAGCACCCAGGGAGAAGTTAACAGGATTACCAGCTGGTATCCAGATAGTGTTGTTATCTACCAGACATCTGGTCCCATCTCCCATCACCACTGTCGGCAACCCGGAGGGCAAGCGGGTCACAGGCACTGTAACATGAATAGTTTACTAAACTGCCTACAGAATAATTCGTCATTTTGATAATAGTAAAGACCAACATCTAAATGGAAACCGTTTATTAGATTTAAGTTTCTTCAAAACAAGTTTAGCATTTGAGCAGGAATTCTACGAAGTCGAAAATGTTGTGTTTCATGTTCACTTTTTATGCCAGTACAACTTAAATTCCCTAAAATGTTCAGGTTGCCAATCACCATCTTAAGTTATTGTGAAACACTACAATATAATACACTGGGAATTCCGAAGATTGAATTTGGTTTTGTGCAACTCTGTAATGTAAGAACTACATACAGACAATGACAATTTGAAGTGACGTATGGAAACATCAGCGTTTCATTGTTTGCATTCTAAACACATTAAAACAATTACATGTCCCTTTGTCACTGGTCAAAATACAAATTTTATATACCTGCCGTAGTAGGATTCATAGTTTTCTCCACCTCTTCAAGTCGTACACACTTTTAGAGTCGTATTTTGCACGATAAAACTGAGAACACTTCCAGTGATATCTCTCAAAATGGCTGACACACAGGAAGGGCAAACCGTTGTCATGACGCCGCTACTCTAGGCAAAACCACGCATGCGTCGACTTTATGCATAACTCAGCACTTCCGTCTGCCTTACATTGTAAATATATATACATTTACATCAACACTTGGTTGTCATCAGTATGAGTTGAACATGGAGAACAAACGTTGTGAAATACGAAGGTCATTCCAAGGGAAGCTACTCTAGTAGAGTTTGATATGTAAAAGGAGTTATCTTGCTTGAATGAGGATTTTATGATCGCTTTTATGAATCTACTTTATGTTTGCAATGATAGTGAGTGAGTCAGTTCGAATTCGTTGTTAGTTGTGGGCCACGTGTGCCCCCTTTGCAATGTTAAATAAAATACACCGACACTACATCTGTTAAGGTTTAGGCAGTGCCATTGTATTTAGTAATTTATAAAAAAATTACGTCAATGTATTATTTTCTCTCAGATTAAGGGTGTGTTCAAGATTGGCAGTGCCACAATGGCTACTACAGGAATCAAACAGGAGTCATCTATATATCCCCGGAAATCCTAATCTAATGCAAAATAATCCAATAGAAGGGAAGCCAATTAAGTCACTGTAACTTGATATTCATTAACTCCTTCCCTTGGCAACAATGGTTGGTACATGAATAAAAATAGCGCCAAGGCACAGTTGCTCAACAGGAATATTCAGAGTGAGGGCAGGTGGGGAAATGGAGGACATTGGAGGAGGGGTGAAGGGAAGTTATAGTGGTAGGCCGGAGGTACGGGCAGACGGGGAAAAGGAGGACATTGGAGGAGAGGTGAAGGGAGGTATATTGATAGGACGGAGGTACGGGCAGACGGGGAAAAGGAGGACATTGGAGGAGAGGTGAAGGTAAGTATATTGATAGGACGGAGGTACGGACAGACGGGGAAAAGAAGGACATTGGAGGAGAGGTGAAGGGAGGTATATTGATAGGACGTATGTACAGGCAGGTGGGGAAAAGAAGGACATTGGAGGAGAGGTGAAGGGAGGTATATTGATAGAACGGAGGTACAGGCAGGTGGGGAAATGGAGGACATTGGAGGAGAGGTGAAGGGAGGTATATTGATAGGACGGAGGTACGGGCATGTGGAGAAATGGAGGACATAGGAGGAGAGGTGAAGGGAAGTTATAGTGGTAGGACGGAGGTACGGGCAGACGGGGAAAAGGAGGACATTGGAGGAATGGTGAAGGGAGGTATATTGATAGGACGGAGGTACGGACAGACGGGGAAAAGGAGGACATTGGAGGAGAGGTGAAGGGAAGTTATAGTGGTAGGCCGGAGGTACGGGCAGACGGGGAAAAGGAGGACATTGGATGAGAGTTGAAGGGAGGTATATTGATAGGACGGAGGTACGGGCAGACGTGGAAAAGGAGGACATTGGAGGAGAGGTGAAGGGAGGTATATTGATAGGACGGAGGTACGGGCAGGTAGGGAAAAGGAGGACATTGGAGGAGAGGTGAAGGTAAGTATATTGATAGGACGGAGGTACGGGCTGGTGGGGAAATGGAGGACATTGGAGGAGGGGTGAAGGGAAGTTATAGTGGTAGGACGGAGGTAGGGGCAGACGGGGAAAAGGAGGACATTGGAGGAATGGTGAAGGGAGGTATATTGATAGGACGGAGGTACGGGCAGACGGGGAAAAGGAGGACATTGGAGGAGAGGTGAAGGGAGGTATATTGATAGGACGGAGGTACGGACAGACGGGGAAAAGGAGGACATTGGAGGAGAGGTGAAGGGAGGTATATTGATAGGACGTATGTACAGGCAGGTGGGGAAATGGAGGACATTGAAGGAGAGGTGAAGGGAGGTATATTGTTAGGACGGAGGTACGGGCAGACGGGGAAAAGGAGGACATTGGAGGAGAGGTGAAGGGAGGTATATTGATATGACGGAGGTACGGGCAGACGGGGAAAAGGAGGACATTGGAGGAGAGGTGAAGGGAGGTATATTGATAGAACGGAGGTACAGGCAGGTGGCGAAATGGAGGACATTGGAGGAGAGGTGAAGGGAGGTATATTGATAGGACGGAGGTACGGGCATGTGGAGAAATGGAGGACATAGGAGGAGAGGTGAAGGGAAGTTATAGTGGTAGGACGGAGGTACGGGCAGACGGGGAAAAGGAGGACATTGGAGGAATGGTGAAGGGAGATATATTGATAGGACGGAGGTACGGACAGACGGGGAAAAGGAGGACATAGGAGGAGAGGTGAAGGGAAGTTATAGTGGTAGGCCGGAGGTACGGGCAGACGGGGAAAAGGAGGACATTGGAGGAGAGGTGAAGGGAGGTATATTGATAGGACGGAGGTACGGGCAGAAGGGGAAAAGGAGGACATTGGAGGAGAGGTGAAGGGAGGTACATTGATAGGACGGAGGTACGGGCAGGTAGGGAAAAGGAGGACATTGGAGGAGAGGTGAAGGTAAGTATATTGATAGGACGGAGGTACGGGCTGGTGGGGAAATGGAGGACATTGGAGGAGGGGTGAAGGGAAGTTATAGTGGTAGGACGGAGGTAGGGGCAGACGGGGAAAAGGAGGACATTGGAGGAATGGTGAAGGGAGGTATATTGATAGGACGGAGGTACGGGCAGACGTGGAAAAGGAGGACATTGGAGGAGAGGTGAAGGGAGGTATATTGATAGGACGGAGGTACAGGCAGGTGGGGAAATGGAGGACATTGGAGGAGAGGTGAAGGGAGGTATATTGATAGGACGGAGGCACGGGCAGGTGGGGAAATGGAGGACATTGGAGGACAGGTGAAGGGAAGTTATAGTGGTAGGACAGAAGTTACGGGCAGACGGGGAAAAGGAGGACATTGGAGGAGAGGTGAAGGTAAGTATATTGATAGGACGGAGGTACGGGCAGGTAGGGAAATGGAGGACTTTGGAGGAGAGGTTAAGGTAAGTATATTGATAGGACGGAAGTACAGGCAGGTAGGGAAAAGGAGGACATTGGAGGAGAGGTGAAGGTAAGTATATTGATAGGACGGAGGTACGGGCAGGTAGGGAAATGGAGGACTTTGGAGGAGAGGTTAAGGTAAGTATATTGATAGGACGGAAGTACAGGCAGGTAGGGAAAAGGAGGACATTGGAGGAGAGGTGAAGGGAGGTATATTGATAGGCCGGAGGTACAGGCAGGTGGGGAAAAGGAGGACACTGGCGGATGGGAGGGGAAGGGAAGGGAAGTACATTGGTAGGTCGGAGGTATGGACAGGTGGGAAATTAGGGTCATGGGTTGTGAGAGAGGATGGGAATTAAAGTGGGAGGAAGAAGGTAAGGGGAAAAAATAAATTGAAATTGAAATTCAGAGGTAGTTTGAACAACACAACTTACGAGTAATATCACGGGCATCCTTTGACAACATACATCCATGTTGCATAAGATTTCTCGCATATACCGGTACTGTTGGTATAACCAGAGGTGTGGGAGGACCTAGGGTCATGCATACAGCAACCATGTTTGACACATATTATGTCATTGTTATGTGATGTCAAATCATCTGTTCGTAGGGCCATGTCAGCGGTCACAAAATTACACGATAACTATGAAAAAGAATTATTCGGACACGAAATTTACAAAACTGGTATTTTTAGTTAGGTCAATGTTTATTATTCGATAACAAGCAACTCTCGTCACTTGATTGTGGGTTTAATGGAAAATAATTGTGAAACATCAGGTGCCAGAATGATGGACTATAGTAGTACAATGTATTTGATTATGTATATATGGTCAAGTGTTTTATTAATGTCAGCTTCTGTTTCAATTCCGAAGTCGAAGTTCAAGCGCTCAATCTCGTGTGACCGCACAGTCACCAATGCGCTTGCTTGCTCTATTGTTTCTCTGCGTTTCTATTGTCATGCCCGAAGTCCTTATATTCAGTGACAGAGTGCCTCATCTGACTCGTCAGCTTACTTTCACACTTTCATTGGAGTCTCTCTTGGGTGCAAGTCAGTTTTATCATCGCTGGATATATTTTCATTTATCACAGGTCAGTTAATGTGTGAATTATATTATATTATTTATGTGTTCATATTTAGTGTTGTGGTATTATAGCTGTTTATCTTTAAATTAATTAAAGTCCTGCACCTGACATTGCATGGATGATTGAATGAAGGTATGAGGTGAGTGATAAGAATAGGTATTTTCGAGTTATTGTATATACATAAGAATATGAACATATTTATACAATATGTTACATTGTATTGATCATTCATTCATTCATTTATTCATTCATTCATCTTTATTCAGCACGGAGTGAGGGTTATTTCCTATATTTCATTGTAATTATTTATTCGTGTTATTATACCCTCAAATAGTGTGCTACGGATAAATGTAATTATCAGCACTTTATATAACTTATTTGTCAGCACACATCATGATAAGTCATCATCACAACCTGGTTCAGCTTTTTGTCGAGACATAGCTATCGCGCCATTTGTCAGTTGCCTGTCTGCCATGTATAGTGATATGTCTGGTATTTAAACCTGCAACGCCAATGTGTTCTGGGTGGATTTTATATATGTCAGCTTACCTAATTTTCAAACAAGAATCCAAACCAAAGGGTAATGGAGGCCCAGCGGTAATTAGTGACCCGGCTCATATTGGAGCACGGCCCTATTAGATAACTGGGTCTCACAAGAAAGCATCGATGCTCCAGATGAAATTCAATCTCACACTTTGCTAAAGGAAAAAAATGACTATTTGTATAACATTGCCAATCTGAACCCAATATCCAGTCAGAGTACAAAACGCCGAGTCTAAATCCATGCAGGCTTGGATCATGACTGGGGTGATCGATTTTATCACTCTTTATGTTTTTTAACGGACTTTGTAAAATACACAACCAGGCAAAAGAAAGCAACACTTGAAAATTGTATTTGTTTAAAAAATTACAACCGTTATCAAAAAGTAACTCGGCTGAAAGCAGTCGCCGAAATACTGCAAACTTAAGGTCCAGACCACAACCCGTTGGTTGCACAGAGACTATATACCGATGGTCTCTGGTTGGAAGATGCCAGTTCAGCATTTAAAAATCGCTATAAACCTTTTTCGGGTGCCTGTCTAAATGCACGTGCTGAAATGGTATAAAATGAAATGGATCGTTCCCAAAACATCACAGGTCTTGAAAAAGCACAAACAATATGCCACGTTCAAATTCACAACAGGGAAGGGGGTTGTGGGAATGAGGCAAATTGGCGCCAACGACTCCCACATTGCAAGAAACTTGTACCATCGTCAGATTGTTTGAAAGTTACAGACTCTTCAATTTTGTTTTTCATAAATACAGATATTGATATGGCTGAGACCTTTTTTTGAATAGGATGTGGTAGAAAATGAACCTCCTTGGCCGAGTCCCATTCGTTCTGCAGAGTTGGGTCCTTATGACTTCCAGAACCCGAACTTGGGTCAAAACTTGCCCCGATTTCATTTCTATGTTTGTCAGCACCATATCTGTACACGTGATATTCTCTACACATTTAGATGACAGCTGACCCGTGAAGAACAGGGTACAGAATAGGTCTTCAGCAACCCATGCTTATCGTTAGAGGCGACTAACGGGATCGAGTGAGACTCGCTGACTTGGTTGATGCATGTCATCGTATACCACAATTGCGTAGATCAATGACGATTGGGAGTTGTTTATCGTACAATAAAACACTGCACTGATAATATTTTTTTCTCCCTGCAGTGTTTTATTTACGATAAACAACAACCTTCTTATATGAGATATCAATATTTTGTATAGACTTTTTAAGGATCTTAATAAAATGTACAAGCTTTAAACATATTTACCCCTTCTTTGACAGCGAGCGGTTATTTTTAGCAGTGACCTTGGTAAATGGCGCTTTAAAACTACATCTGCCCATGTCTTTTCATTCAGTTCGTGCTGGTATGTACGTACGCTGCTCACGCTGCTAAAAATGGATGCTTTATTCGTAATATTAGATAATAATTTGATTTCATGAAATGTGTCAAAGGTACCAATTATAAGTGTGCGAGCGTGTGTGCGTCTGCATGTACACTAACGTAAAAAATAACTGTGCTTCGTATAAAGTCTTGTAAATTTTATGTTATTGAAAATAACAACATAATATTTGGTCATTCAACATTATCCTGCTGCAACGTAACGTTACATTCCTGCTTTTACACAAAGGCTAGAATAGTATCTCCAACGTACCCAATAACGTACTCCATTCCAACTGAAATTAACAATAAGTTGTGATGCCACACCCCATACCATCACACTTCCACCCTCAAACTGTCGACGTTGAGTAAATCAGAGACCCTAAAAGATCTTATTTTATGGTCTGGGAGTAAAGCAAGCGCTGCTGAAACGTTTTCCCGTACGCCCGTAGACCCCTGCGTGACCATCAGAGTTGCCCAGATGACACCTGTAAGCAGTTTACTGTCCCAGTCTTGTTTTCTAAGCCCCAGATTCCGTCTCTACCAAGCCACAGCTGCCTGACTGACGCGGGCGTATTGCTGGACGTTGGGGCCGGATGTTGTGCTTCTTACCCAGTTTCGTACTGTTCTGGCACTTATTGATCTCAACCCAGGAATTGTCCAAGCTGTTTATGTGGCAGTTTGGTATCGATTACATGGATGCACAATACGGATATGGTTGTCCTGTTGACGCGACGTCACACATGGACGACCGGCCCGTGGCAAGTCATGAGTGTTGCCCTGTCCAAAGAAATGATATTGTGTGTTTATAGCATACCCACGGCACATAGACGTTGATTTTCATCAAGCCATGGCATTGCTAAGGGTTATTTATGGATAAACAAAAGTGTTTATATGAGCACCTGATAGCTAAACAATCATTGTGTTCGCTGTTCATAGCAGGGTAATATTTTTCATTACATTCTCCCATGGGAGAGGTGATGAAGCGTGTGATCCCTACAAGATGTCAATGTATTGATTTAATGTGAGCCACGTGTGATCTTATTAAACTCTCAGGACTGTCAGAAGAACCTGCAGCCAGGTGAAGGGAAATGAATAACCTAGTGACTAAATGAGAAGATGTCAGCTTGTATAATAGTGTTTTGCTACGCAAAATCCTGATAGCGCCACAAGGTTAATGTGGTCGTATGAGCCTTGATGACAAAGGTGTCAAAATAGTGGAGACTTAATGGTAACCTGTGAGCTTGTGTTCTGCTGAGCCAGGCCCTTGCACCACAGCATATGTGAACATACATAATAGTGTTCTGCTGAGCCAGGCCCTTGCATCACTGCATATGTGAACATACATAATAGTGTTCTGCTGAGCCAGGCCCTTGCACCACAGCATATGTGAACATACATAATAGTGTTCTGCTGAGCCAGGCCCTTGCATCACTGCATATGTGAACATACATAATAGTGTTCTGCTGAGCCAGGCCCTTGCATCACTGCATATGTGAACATACATAATAGTGTTCTGCTCAGCCAGGCCCTTGCACCACAGCATATGTGAACATACATAATAGTGTTCTGCTGAGCCAGGCCCTTGCACCACAGCATATGTGAACATACATAATAGTGTTCTGCTGAGCCAGGCCCTTGCATCACTGCATATGTGAACATACACAATAGTGTTCTGCTGAGCCAGGCCCTTGCACCACAGCATATGTGAACATACACAATAGTGTTCTGCTGAGCCAGGCCCTTGCACCACAGCATATGTGAACATACATAATAGTGTTCTGCTGAGCCAGGCCCTTGCATCACTGCATATGTGAACATACACAATAGTGTTCTGCTGAGCCAGGCCCTTGCACCACAGCATATGTGAACATACACAATAGTGTTCTGCTGAGCCAGGCCCTTGCACCACAGCATATGTGAACATACACAATAGTGTTCTGCTGAGCCAGGCCCTTGCACCACAGCATATGTGAACATACATAAAAAGTGTTCTGCTGAGCCAGGCCCTTGCACCACAGCATATGTGAACATACATAAAAAGTGTTCTGCTGAGCCAGGCCCTTGCATCACAGCATATGTGAACATACATTATAGTGTTCTGCTGAGCCAGGCCCTTGCATCACTGCACATGTGAACATACACAATAGTGTTCTGCTGAGCCAGGACCTTGCATCACTGCATATGTGAACATACATAATAGTGTTCTGCTGAGCCAGGCCCTTGCACCACAGCATATGTGAACATACATAATAGTGTTCTGCTGAGCCAGGCCCTTGCATCACTGCATATGTGAACATACACAATAGTGTTCTGCTGAGCCAGGCCCTTGCACCACAGCATATGTGAACATACACAATAGTGTTCTGCTGAGCCAGGCCCTTGCACCACAGCATATGTGAACATACATAATAGTGTTCTGCTGAGCCAGGCCCTTGCATCACTGCATATGTGAACATACACAATAGTGTTCTGCTGAGCCAGGCCCTTGCACCACAGCATATGTGAACATACACAATAGTGTTCTGCTGAGCCAGGCCCTTGCACCACAGCATATGTGAACATACATAAAAAGTGTTCTGCTGAGCCAGGCCCTTGCACCACAGCATATGTGAACATACATTATAGTGTTCTGCTGAGCCAGGCCCTTGCATCACTGCACATGTGAACATACACAATAGTGTTCTGCTGAGCCAGGACCTTGCGTCACTGCATATGTGAACATACATAATAGTGTTCTGCTGAGCCAGGCCCTTGCAACACAGCATATGTGAACATAAAGCAATCTGAACTCAATATTTCACACGGTGGAAAATCTATGATCATCATGTTTTAGTACAGTAATATGCACATAAAAACATTCATGCATACCTTTGATATCCGAAACGATACAAAACGGTAACTTTCAAACACTTTGGAATCTATTCAGACATTTTTGAAACTTTGACAATCAGAAAAAAAGTCCCATAAAAAACCCATCGAAATCCCCTGGAGTCAAGCTTCTGAACCCTGTCACCCATCCAACTACTTAACTTAGTCTGATTTGTTACCTGTGTGCTGTACATGACACCATAATCCACCATATTTTGTTTTCAAATAAACAAGAAGGCTCATAAATATCACCAATTTTATTCATTGTAAAATATATGAGACACTAAAATGTATCAAACAATAAAATAGTATAACCATATATCAGTTACAGTCAATAGGACTAGTTTCTAGGACAAACATATATAGCATAGGACATATTGGCAGGAATACAGCATCATTCACTCTCATCAAACCTGTAGTTTGTTTTGTTGTAATAATGCTGAACACAATATGGTCAAACCAATGAATTCAGAAAGTAAATAATTCTGAATTTCTTCTCCAACGACAAAAGCTCTCCACTCTGATAGGCCAGAATATGAAATCTATGGGATATGATGATAAAATATTCTGGACGGATTGATGCTACATGTTCATAAACTGAGTGTGATTTAGCTATTTCAAATACAATAACAAACAACGCATAACATAAAAAAATGTATGTTAACGGCACATTACTGCACGAGAAATGTCTGACTAGATCTCCACTAGATACATGTATGATATCAACATTCAACTTCAAAACTCAATAAAATATGCATGTAGGTTTGGAAACAGTGTTGAATATAAAAGTTTTGCATAGCTTGTCAACAAGACTGTCTAGTCACAACATAAATATTTAGTCACAAATCTTTGCATAGATCACAAAAGTAACATGAATGGTCACAAAAATATTTCAGTGAATTTGACTAAAAGTATGCATATAAATAATCCTTGTAATACATTCTCAAGAAATTTCAATTCTGACTGTCAAAATATTGTTCCTTAAATATTAAAGGTAAACTTTAAACTGCTTTCTACCATTTCTTTGTTTCCTTAATTCCAGATATGATCTTTACTGTATTGAATTATAATTTACCATTATTTGTATAAAACATTTCCAATCGCTTCACATCTTGATTAACAGGATACAAAACAACATGTGTGACAAAAGTTTAATCATCAGAGTGGTGTGCAATGGCATAGTGTCGTGTTGGGCCAATGACACCTGCATCTGATTAATGTGTCTCAAGTTTGGACACTGCTGCTTTCCCCACCACAAATCTCCACAAGAAATAGAAATTGAAACTAAGATAACAGTTTTAAATATTTGGCACAACATGGACTGAACAATAACAATTATTTTGTACATATTTGATCATGAAGCTCGCTGACTATATTATGATGAATAATAAAATGAGACAAATATAAGGATGTACATATGAAAGTTCTTGATTGTACACAACACTTGTGCAGTTGATTTTATGACCTCATACATAACACAGTTTATGTATTCAAAGTCAAAACAGTATCCTATCAAAACTTTGATCAAGAAAATACAAAGTAATATAAAAAACATTTCCTCCAAACATAAAAGGTTTTGAATAGAACAATCTTACTAAAGAAATCAATTCAGTATAGAATGAATGTTCTTATTCTAGTTCATGTTTCGCAAAAACTCCTGCTCCAGTTGAGAGACACAGCATGAAGACTACTGACCAGAGTAACAGGTCCTGTTTCAGTAAGCTGTGGTTTCCTTGCAGGCTTGCTGCAGGGGTGGGAACGAACGTAGTGTAACGGGCCCTGTTTCAGTAAGCTGTGGTTTCCTTGCAGGCTTGCTGCAGGGGTGGGAACGAACGTACAGTAATGGGCCCTGTTTCAGTAAGCTGTGGTTTCCTTGCAGGCTTGCTGCAGGGGTGGGAACGAACGTACAGTAATGGGTCCTGTTTCAGTAAGCTGTGGTTTCCTTGCAGGCTTGCTGCAGGGGTGGGAACGAACGTAGGGCTGATTTACACCACTTAATGCTTCAGCTTTTTGACAAACATTTGAAACCCAAGTATGATGCTGACATTCTCACCAGGAATAATCAGACCCTAATACATTTTTGAAAATGAAATCTCAGCATCTTAGGCCACTGTGCCCATGTCCTTTTTCCTGGTCTACATGACAAGTGATTCCATGTCAATGATACTGCCATGTCATGAATGGTAATGAACTGTATTTGAGCACTTGTATCACAACTCCTGTTCCTGGATGACGTTCTCCTCCAAAATGCCCGCCTGCTCCAGGTCCTCTATCTCCGGATTATCCAGAGTCAAATCCTCTAGCATCAAGGCAGGTGACAAACCACCAGATCCCTTCCCCTTCCCTCGGGACTTGGTTTTCCGGAGATTCCGCTTCCCAGATGGACGTCGACCAAAGTGAGCAGCATCCTGCTCCGAACCGGAACTGGATTCTGCTGCAATATTTCCACACAGGTCCCCTCTCTGAAGGACTCTCTCTGGTGGAAGTTTAAACTGTCTTTGTTTCTGGCTGCCCACAGACAAGGATTTATTGGAGTCAAAGTGAGCATGTTCATCTAAAGTTGTCTGTATGAATGTGGGTTTAGGAGGGAGTTCTGGTTTGATTGTTGGTTGTTTCACACTTCCAGTCCTCTCTATGCTGCCAGACTGGCCAGACGACGAGTCTGTTCTCCTGTGAACCTTCTCACTTTCTGAGCTCTGGGGACTGGCATTCTCTGATGATGAAGATGGTTTACCTGATTTCCCCAACCTACTGGATGGGCTTTTGCTGAGCAGAAGATTACTGACAGGTTTAGGTGGCACAGGAGGTCCGACCTTCACCTTTGGTCTTGTGTCCCCTGACCTCTTGTTATGAGGTGACTCTGGACTTGATGACCCTGCCTCTGGATGTATCCCTGATGGCGAGGCCAGACTTGGTGGGCTCCTCACATCTGACCTTGACCTTTCTGGACATATTGGTGAAGCTCCAGATTTAGGCTTTGGTTTTGTTAGACTGGCAACTGATGAAAGAAACATATGTCCAATTAGTTCCAGGTCATCAAGATAATTATAATACCAAGGAATAACCAAGGCACACACGAAGGTAGGACACTATGATAAGTAAGAATTTAATGTAATGTAGGTTAGGGTCACAGTTAATTATCATTGCATCTAAAGCTTTGTAAGCTTCTTAATCAAATAACCGTGACATAGACCTACCTAAATCCTTAGTTTTTGGCAACTCAAGGTGTGGCAGCTTATGACTTCCATTAGAGGCTGATGATGGTGAACGCTCCACACTTCTACCCTGCAGTGCTGCAGTGATGCCAGGATTCTGGTTGCTAAGCAGCTGGGTTGTGCCACCATGCTCCTGTCTCTGCATCTGTAGCTGTCTGAAGATCTCCAGTTCAAGGTGAGACCTGCAACACAGGAAAAGTTATGGTTAGGACAAACCATATTTTACTATATAAAACCTATAATTTTATTCTTATCATACCTTCTGATCTGAATAAATTAGTTGTGTTTAATGCCCCTTTGAACAGTATTTCAGATTAGGTATGGCGTGTCAGCTTCATGTTGGCGAAAATCCTGAAGTGCAGGTCTTAGATGTTAACCACTTTCATGAGACCACAGAGCATGGGCATGAAACGGGCAAAACTGTAGGATTCTACCATGCCTGAGGGATGCAACTCTGCCCCGAGAGAGCTGGTGCCATAGACAATTTGGCTATGCATGATACACATTTTCTAAGTTGGTAAACCAATAAAGTTTAAGGAAGAAGTATATTAAAAGACCAGGCTATGAGTAAACAATTGGATTCTCCAGAACTAAGATAAATGCAATAAATATTCTTCAATTTCTCGATTTTTCTTTCTTCAAATAAATCTGACGATCAACAGAAACAAATCTATTCGATTTCTGAAAATCGGAATCTGGACTCAGATCTCAGTGACTACAGAGATTGTACAATGATAGAACTGAACACTTCAAGCACAAAGGCATCTCAACCACCACCCTTAGATATATAAGAACATGTTACTTACATGTTACTCAGTTACTTTTGCCTGTGAATATACGTGATGATTTCAGCAACGTCTGACTCACCTGAGCTGTTTCTCCTTCTCCTGGGACAACACATCCGCACCAATGCTGTCTAGTTTGAGCAGCTGTGCCAGGTATGGCTCGTTAGCATACAGCTTGTCTTCAATCTTCTGTACCCTCAGCTCCAGGCGGTCTGTCCCCACACCTGCTTGATCCTGGAATAGAACAATGGCTTTCTGTTGAAGCATGAAACAACAGGAACTGAAAGCAGTGTTTTCACTTGGATGCTAAAAATACATAAAACCTGTTATTTCATGGACTTGTACGCTGCACTCAGCAATATTCAGCTGTACCATGGTTATCAACCTCTTACACGTCTATGTATGGCTGCTGCGTACAATAAACTGTATCAAACAGAGCTCATGATATTCAAGTGAGCGATTAAATGTTACTTTTTACGTGAAGTCGGCAGCAATATTATCTGGGCCTGCAAGTATTAAAGTCTGTGCCAGGCAATCCAGTGCTTGGTAGCATGAGCAATAATGCATTCTGTCACTGAACAGTATCATACCATTGAACATGTCACACACTGGTACCATCCATTCTTCATTAGTCAGCTGTTTTGACAAGCAAGGGGGAGTGGGGATCAGTCTGCGCCAGAATTACACACTGAGACGATGATGATGAATTGGGGATCACTCTGCCACACAATCTCCACAGAGAGACAAGTATAGGGTTCTGGTGACCACTCGGCCACACAATCTCCACAGGGAGACAAGTATAGGGTTCTGGTGACCACTCGGCCACACAATCTCCACAGGGAGACAAGTATAGGGTTCTGGTGACCACCACACTGCCTCACAGTCTCCACAGGGAGACAAGTATAGGGTTCTGGTGATCACTCGGCCACACAATCTCCACAGGGAGACAAGTATAGGGTTCTGGTGACCACTCGGCCACACAATCTCCACAGGGAGACAAGTATAGGGTTCTGGTGACCACTCGGCCACACAATCTCCACAGGGAGACAAGTATAGGGTTCTGGTGACCACTCGGCCACACAATCTCCACAGGGAGACAAGTATAGGGTTCTGGTGATCACTCGGCCACACAATCTCCACAGGGAGACAAGTATAGGGTTCTGGTGACCACTCGGCCACACAATCTCCACAGGGAGACAAGTATAGGGTTCTGGTGACCACCACACTGCCTCACAGTCTCCAAGGGGAGACAAGTATAGGGTTCTGGTGATCACTCGGCCACACAGTCTCCACAGGGAGACAAGTATAGGGTTCTGGTGACCACTCGGCCACACAATCTCCACAGGGAGACAAGTATAGGGTTCTGGTGACCACCACACTGCCTCACAGTCTCCACAGGGAGACAAGTATAGGGTTCTGGTGACCACTCGGCCTCACAGTCTCCACAGGGAGACAAGTATAGGGTTCTGGTGACCACTCGGCCACACAATCTCCACAGGGAGACAAGTATAGGGTTCTGGTGACCACCACACTGCCTCACAGTCTCCAAGGGGAGACAAGCGTGTGGTACTGGGGATCAAGTCTTCCCTGGAATTCCAATGAGGACAATATTGGAGTCCGATTCTGCCCTAATACCTATAGAAGGAAGGGGTTTTGACAAACATACACTTAGGACCAATTCTGCTCAACCAATGAAATCTGTTTATTCCATGTGTATTCCTCACCTCTGATCCCCCGCCGCTAGATATTCCATCATCCCCTGCTCCGTGACTGGCGTCCGTGGAATCTGTGAGGTAACCCTGTGGTTTCTCCGGTAGGCTGCTGGAGCCAGCCAGGTTGTTCATCCTGAACAGCAGCTCATCTACCTGGTACTCGATCTCCGCCATGGTGAACTCCTGCAACCACACATGCAAGTAAGTCACATACTGAGACATCTATTGTTTAACTACTTTACAGATCTGCCAACCACACATGCAAGGTAAGTCACATACTGAGACATCTATTGTTTAACTACTTTACAGATCTGCCAACCACACATGCAAGGTAAGTCACATACTGAGACATCTATTGTTTAACTACTTTACAGATCTGCCAACCACACATGCAAGGTAAGTCACATACTGAGACATCTATTGTTTAACTACTTTACAGATCTGCCAACCACACATGCAAGGTAAGTCACATACTGAGACATCTATTGTTTAACTACTTTACAGATCTGCCAACCACACATGCAAGGTAAGTCACATACTGAGACATCTATTGTTTAACTACTTTACAGATCTGCCAACCACACATGCAAGGTAAGTCACATACTGAGACATCTATTGTTTAACTACTTTACAGATCTGCCAACCACACATGCAAGGTAAGTCACATACTGAGACATCTATTGTTTAACTACTTTACAGATCTGCCAACCACACATGCAAGGTAAGTCACATACTGAGACATCTATTGTTTAACTACTTTACAGATCTGCCAACCACACATGCAAGTAAGTCACATACTGAGACATCTATTGTTTAACTACTTTACAGATCTGCCAACCACACATGCAAGGTAAGTCACATACTGAGACATCTATTGTTTAACTACTTTACAGATCTGCCAACCACACATGCAAGGTAAGTCACATACTGAGACATCTATTGTTTAACTACTTTACAGATCTGCCAACCACACATGCAAGGTAAGTCACATACTGAGACATCTATTGTTTAACTACTTTACAGATCTGCCAACCACACATGCAAGGTAAGTCACATACTGAGACATCTATTGTTTAACTACTTTACAGATCTGCCAACCACACATGCAAGGTAAGTCACATACTGAGACATCTATTGTTTAACTACTTTACAGATCTGCCAACCACACATGCAAGGTAAGTCACATACTGAGACATCTATTGTTTAACTACTTTACAGATCTGCCAACCACACATGCAAGGTAAGTCACATACTGAGACATCTATTGTTTAACTACTTTACAGATCTGCCAACCACACATGCAAGGTAAGTCACATACTGAGACATCTATTGTTTAACTACTTTACAGATCTGCCAACCACACATGCAAGGTAAGTCACATACTGAGACATCTATTGTTTAACTACTTTACAGATCTGCCAACCACACATGCAAGGTAAGTCACATACTGAGACATCTATTGTTTAACTACTTTACAGATCTGCCAACCACACATGCAAGGTAAGTCACATACTGAGACATCTATTGTTTAACTACTTTACAGATCTGCCAACCACACATGCAAGGTAAGTCACATACTGAGACATCTATTGTTTAACTACTTTACAGATCTGCCAACCACACATGCAAGGTAAGTCACATACTGAGACATCTATTGTTTAACTACTTTACAGATCTGCCAACCACACATGCAAGGTAAGTCACATACTGAGACATCTATTGTTTAACTACTTTACAGATCTGCCAACCACACATGCAAGTAAGTCACATACTGAGACATCTATTGTTTAACTACTTTACAGATCTGCCAACCACACATGCAAGGTAAGTCACATACTGAGACATCTATTGTTTAACTACTTTACAGATCTGCCAACCACACATGCAAGGTAAGTCACATACTGAGACATCTATTGTTTAACTACTTTACAGATCTGCCAACCACACATGCAAGGTAAGTCACATACTGAGACATCTATTGTTTAACTACTTTACAGATCTGCCAACCACACATGCAAGGTAAGTCACATACTGAGACATCTATTGTTTAACTACTTTACAGATCTGCCAACCACACATGCAAGTAAGTCACATACTGAGACATCTATTGTTTAACTACTTTACAGATCTGCCAACCACACATGCAAGGTAAGTCACATACTGAGACATCTATTGTTTAACTACTTTACAGATCTGCCAACCACACATGCAAGGTAAGTCACATACTGAGACATCTATTGTTTAACTACTTTACAGATCTGCCAACCACACATGCAAGGTAAGTCACATACTGAGACATCTATTGTTTAACTACTTTACAGATCTGCCAACCACACATGCAAGGTAAGTCACATACTGAGACATCTATTGTTTAACTACTTTACAGATCTGCCAACCACACATATCATGTATAAAATGCAAATGTTAAGTTTCCATTCTTGCCTTGTTCACTCATTTCAATAATAAAAAGATAAAAGTAGGTAAATGTTGGAAGGCAGGTTACCCTTTCACTTTTCATTAAAACTAATTTTTCTTCCATTAAATACAACTTTTTTCAAAATAAAAAATTATTCATAGTTTTTTAACCAACTCAAACAAAAAAATTATCATTCAGGCAAAATTAGTCCAATTGCCACTTTGGAATCTATAATGATAATAATCAGGACTGGGATGAATGCAAATTTACGACCTGGGTACCCGACCCCCTATTACCCGACCCTAACTGGGTACTCGCAGTCGGTCTCAAGAGTTGGGTTTTACAGGAGCCATGGCAAAAACTATTTAAATACACGTGTAAAACATTCTGATCATGCATGCACTGAACTTGACTAAATCTTTATCATTATTTTAACATAAAAATGTCAGAATGAATGTGTGCATGGTCAGAAAAAAATGCGAACATTTGTGACTTGTAGATTTTTGTCATTTAACAATATATCACGTGACTAAGCACGGGTCCAGGTAGTCATGTGGGTACCGGGTCCTACTCAGGACCCACCTGACCCCAGTACCCCAGTAACCTGTCTCAGCCCTAATAATAATCAACATAACTTATGCATATGAAGATGAGGAAGCTGTGAAGAAGGGGAGACAACTCACAGGAGGCAGGACATTCTCTGGCTCCTCGATGGGCTGCACTCTCTGGATGCCAGAACACAGCAGCAGCCTCTGGTACAGACACTTGATGCTGTCAACAATCCCCATCATGGCAATGTCCCCTTGCTTGTACACCTTCAGCCGGCGAGACATCACTGCAACCATCTGACAACATCGGAAGAAAAACAGTTCAGCTTAACATTAAGGGGTCTGAGATCAGTCAAATTCTGAGTGAGTGAACGAATATGGTTTTATACAATTAGTAGTAATATCCCACCTGTATTAGAGCAGGGGACACCAAGAATGGGCATCGTTGTAACCATGTGGGGAACTGAGCCTATGTTTACTGCATGACAAGCAAGCACTTTAACCACTAGGCTACCCTGAAGGGATGTCAGGATTCACCGATTGTACCAATGCATCGGTAGATAATTCTCACGATACGATACGAGATGTAAATTTATATCGATACAAAATTTTATTGAAATTGGTATCCATTTGTTCCCGTACCGATTGATTTTTTATTCGAATCAAAATGTCATCATGTTTTCTGAATTTGACACATACAAAAACTTGTTAGTTTCCGACACTTCTAAGAATTATTATTTTACAAAATAATCTACTGGTAGTGATTAGAACACATAATTGTGAATGTGATATGTAATTAAAAAATTTGCTTCTAAATTTACGCATAAAAGGTCGGTATTGCTGTATCGAGATACATATCGTATCTTGACCTCAAAATCGAAATATGTATCGTATCGTGAGGTACCTGTATCGTGACACCCCCAATACCCTGCTGCCTTTAAGTTTGAACCAGGTACTAATTGGTAACATTTGCCAGTCATGCACACATTAAAATTGCTACAACTCTATGACCTATTTTCGTCAGTGTGTACACAAGAAAATGTTCCTGAAACATATTCTGCCTTGGAATCCTCATGAGAAAAGGGGACATAAGGTAGCAAAATATCAAAATTACAATCACAAATTTGATGAATTACAGATTTCTATTCAAAACTTTCCCTCCACTTACATAGCTTGTGAGCAGTCCAACGCCAAAGACAAGATAGCTGAATACAAATATCAGCCACCAGGGGGAGCTGTTGACCTCCAGGTCAGGTGAAGCGTGTATCCTCACCATCAATGCTGTCATTGACCACAGTCCAAACCAGGCGTTCCTCAGCCCAAGAGAGACAGAGCCAAACAGAACCACTCCCAAACCCGTGAAGGCACACAGGATAAAGACATACAGGGCCTGGAAAACAGATCTCTATAGTAACTCAACATACCAACATGACATCATGCATTCCCAATATTACTTTCTTAAATACTTGGTTAAATGACCTGTTGACCCATTAGTGGACATTGAAGTAATAAAAATTTCATATATTTCTACACTAGTTTCTCCCCATAGTGTCTGTCAGGGAAAGAATTAATTCTTTTTTGTGGATGTTTTTTTTTCTATCCAACAAAAATTACACTTTTCAGGGGAATTACAGTTAAAGGTTGACAGTTCTGATCATCACATTTTCACTCTGTATGAGGACAACATCTACATCTTCTTGAGTAAAAAAACTGTCAACTTAAGATACTCAACAGCTCTGCAGCATTAAGTAAGGGTTGTTTCTCAAGAACATCTCTTTGAGGATGTCCTCATGTCCTGTTTTTCACAAACAGATTGGGGATGGAATTAACATGTTCATCCTCATTAAACTTATGTATGTCAGCTGTCAGAACTGTGACCCTTGTTCATACCATGAAGAGGATGATCTCCTTCCGTGCTCGTCTGTAGATGTTGCTGAACTTGGCACACACTGTGATGTATCTCAGGAGTGGCACAAACTTCACAATGATGAAGAACAACAGCAGTCCCACTTCAGCTCTCAGGATCTACAGGCAAATCAGGCACTGGTAAGCTTCTGCCATTCAACACTATACACATCAACATGTGAAGTAAAATAATATCTGTCAATGGTTAAACGTGTTCGGATGTAAGGATCTTTCTTGTGTAGCTGATATGGCTGAGTACTGATGGAACTTAAACTACTTAAATAGTCTTGTGACAGTTAAAAACAGCATTGAGACACAATGGCACCAGCATTGCAATGTGTTCTAAGCATCTCTAACAACAATGCTATCAACTAGCTTTATTTGATATGGTGATAGGGTGAACACGTTCACCATAAGGTGCAGTAGATTGTTGGGAACTTGGAGATCTAAGGGAGATAACTCTTCTAGCCAGGTGTAGATGTAAACTAGAATGAGTTCTGACTTAAAAAGTTTATGGTACTAACAAGTGCTGGAGATTATGGATATGTTTTGTATTGTCTTACAACTATCCAAAAAAGTCCAAGCATGGTATCGATGTCAATTGTCAATCTCTTAGCTTTTCAATCAAACATAATTTGCCACTGTCATAATGCATCAATAGTTGGATCAACTGTTTCACCCCTAATAGCTACAAGCATAATATAATATTCTTGTGTTTATTACTCATGAAAATGTTTTAGGAAAATAGCATCTTGTGCAAGGAATCAAATTGTCAATGTCCACACACCTCATCCCAGAGTGCCAGGAAGGAGACATTGATGAACTCCTCGTAAAAGGTGTTCCGGAGGTCCTCCACGATGTCGGCCACCAACACAAAGCGGAACACGTAGCACACAACATAGGTCAAGGACAGCAGGCCAAAGGTAAACTAGAATAGATAAAATATTCAAGAGACTAGATTAAAGTTACTTTCCCAACACATTGAATATTCCATCAAAGCAACATCATAATGGTATACTCCTGGTTTTAACATCAGGGTGGAGGAGTATGGTTTCATGAACATTTAGCAACACTCCTGGCATATGACATGTAGAGAGTGAACTCTTTGATCACTTGCTGTGTACCCAACAGCCTATTTCGACCTCAACTTCTGATGAACACGAGACTGGGCCCATAACACTCATGACATGAAAGTTATTGCCATTATTCCCATAATTTCACTGTGTAGACTTACGATAGAGAACATTTACTCACATTGTTGAATACCTGGGCCAGTCAGTCTTAATGTGAACCTGAGCATAATTCGGAATGTTGTCAGTGATTAAGAATATTAACTGCTACTGATCTGGGCAGAAACACTCCTCACCTCCAAGTAGTTCCACAGGTTGTTGAAGTATTTTGCTTGATTTCGGACAATCTCACAAAGTTCACATCTTATCTTCATCAGTGTCAGAACCACAAACACCAACTGAAAACAGCACACAAATACTCATCAATTCCACATATATGCTGTACACAGAGGAAGAATTTATTTAAAATCTTACATCTGATTCAATACCTCTCTTCTGTCCATACACTATTTATTATTAAGCAGCTATTTGGTTCAAGTATGATCAAACAGTCTTACTGTTAGTATGTGGACCTACTCAGCCCCTATGAATTTCAATAGGGTATCTGTTGAAATAGCTCACAATTAGCATGTAGGCCTACGCTGTACAGGAACTGCAATGTGTATTGAAAATAACAAATTGCCAAAATTCTGACAAAGCAACACTCCTAATTATGTTGCCACTTTCTGATTAAGATGAACACTATGTCTCACCTCACAGGCCAATACACAGTTGTCCCAGACACTGATGTAGCAGAATACCCTTGTCGCCATGACGATGGGATACGGGTCAGCTCCCCCTGTTGGTGGAAACTCGAGCAGTAGTGTGACTGAACTGAAGAGGTTTGTTGGAACATTGAAGAGGGTGAGCTCCACGATGACTGCTCGAGTCTGAACATCCAGCCAGCTGGACTCCTCCAACTCACGCAGTTGTCTGTACGCCTCGGACCTGAAGCAGTAACATTCCCGTCAACAAGTCGTCAAATTTCAATTCCAGTGTTTGTCAGTCAACAAGTAATCAGAAATTCACACTGCATGTCGTCCTAATATGTCCCCTTTACCATCTTTTGCTTCTAATGGCATAAACAGATACTGATTTATTTAGAAAATTTGTAAAATAAAATTTGTAAAATTCCATGTATTCTCTTTGTCATGAATTTTGTGTTTTACAACTGGAATAAAATCATTAATAACTATGACCTATAATATCAGAAATTTTCAAAACATATTTTGAAATTTGAATAAGGCTAAAGAATAATGTTTTGTGCCTTAATGTCAGTCTAATGGGAGAGATCCAAATATTCCGAGCCATGCTCCCTACCTGTTCCGTGACAGCTGGATAGTGGAGCCGGTTGGGTCATAGGTGCCATGTTGTCCCCACAACAAAAAGCTGTAGGGGGTGGGATCCGTCCAGGAGGAGTTGACTCCCACGATGCTGTTGTCACGCCTGCTGCTGCTGTACTGATACCGACACGGTGATGTTGTGGTGACGTATCTGATGCTGCTGCAGTCTTCCTGGCCCACTCGTAACTGTCGGACATGCACGTCACCGATCAGGTAACTGTTGAGGTGACCGATGGCCATCTGTAGATGGAGAGTAAGGTGATTTATCTAGTACAATTAATGAGGAATATATACAGCAATGCAGTGGTGGATATGTTTTACAGCTTATAACAAGTATTGGGTATTTGTGGACCCCCACAGGGGCATCATACAGAAGATGGCAAGAGTGTCTATGAAGGAGTTGGTAGTTTCTGATATTAGAGTTGACATGTGTTTGTGCATACCTGTTTGTGTGGTTGAGTGGGTGTGACGGACACACTCTGACTGTACACACCGTCCAACAGCGTCATCCGACTCCACTCGAACCACTCCCCACGAGTCTGGATCTGGGAGAAGGGTAGCTGACCGGAACTGCAGCACAAATTTCACAATATTCATCCGAGGTATATCGGTGTCTCCATTAGAAAAGGAGTGGTACGTGATATGCACCTACATTCCTACACATTTGCACCTACAATGTGTTCAGCAATAACTTGATTTAACCTTTTGTTACTATTCCAGAAGCATTGCTCTGTTAATGTTAATTGCATTGAACTATTCAGTGTTACAAGTATTGAGTACTGAGTGCAAGTAGCTTCATACTGCAGCCATCAACATCCCAGACACATAACAGGAAGCAGTAATCGTGCCTAGGACAGGCAGATCGGTGGTTGATAGCAAGAGCAATGATGAATGTGTTGGGGTACGACGTACCAATGGGACCTGATCCTCATACAACAAACAAGGGTCCTGCTTCCCTACTCGGCCCCAGAATCTCCAGGTTACATCTTTCACAGAAATGACCAAGATGACTTTCAAATATTTATAAATAAAATGTGTCATCAACACCTTTTTTCAGTACAGGACTACTAGATATACTTACTTTACAAAAGCATCCTTGATGGCCTGGTTGCAGTAGAACGGCGATGCTGTGTCTCTCCCGTACGCCATGATAGTCAACAGCGGGAACATCACGGAGAACACCACACTATCACTGGAACACATGGCAGCCATAACTACATGCACTATCAGCCAACATTACAACTGTCATTCCAGTCATCATGTGCAAACTTGATGTATACATTTTACTGTCCTGCATACTACTAAGTGGCACTGATTTCATGTTAGACAATGACTGTATGCATGATTTCATTGCAAAATAGAGCTATTATTTCAAGGCTCATTTTCTCAAACCTGACCTTGCCATAGCAATACAGTAAAACATCTCGATAATTGGAAGCACTTGTGGCAATAATTCTGGACAGGAAAATCGAATGATCAATGATGAAATGGGTGTTTAATTTGAAAATGTACAGGCAATCAAGTATTACCAAAAGAAATAAACCCAAAATATAAAGTCAAGGTGAGTGAATGCGAAGCATTTAGGTCAGTTTTAGTAATATTTCAGCCATTCCACAAGGGACACAAGAAAAAGGGTTCATGATTTGTAACATGGAATTCAACCTTGATCTTCAGTATGATGAGCAAATGCTTATACCACAGGGCTACCCTACTATCTGTTAACCATGATATTGTTCTGACACCGTGGTGTCTGACGCTCTGCAGCTTTAACAAGCCAGTGAAAGCTATCTACCTGAAGAGGCCCAGCGTCTTCTTCTCTCTGATGATCTTCTTCCTTGCTTCAATCAACGTCTTTTCCTGAGGGGGCCGGGCAAACCTCAGGTAGCGGCACCTCTGTCTAGCTGCCACGCCCTGAAAGTAAGCAATGACACATTGATATATACTTCATGTATCGATAGGTGCTTCAAATGCTCACATACTCTTCATGACATCAGGGTGTTGAATACAGAAGTCATGTTTGTAGATCACATTAATCAGATGTTATGTCTTGAAAACTAATTCAGTGGCGGAGGGCATCTGGGGCATCTGGTCTAATCATATTTTAGTATACAGATCAAAGCTTTCAAGGAATGAGTTTCTTTTTTCGCCCTTACAGCTGTATACAGCAGCTTGTTTCTACTGGGAGCTGGACCAGACAGCCCTGCTGGAATAGTATGGCTGAACTAATGTTGATGCAAAGTTAACTTTTAACTCACTCACCCAATGACATGCACTTGCCCTGGAATCAAGGGGAGACAAGAATGGCATATTAGCAACTATATGAATATCTTACCCTCTCAAGTTCTTCCCACTCCTCACACTCCACCTCCCGCTGTTTGCGGCGGCGGGCCAACTCATTGTCCATGCCGTAGAAGCCGTCATCGTAGTGGTCGAGGACACACGGATCCTGGCGATGCTTCATGGCCGTGTACACTACTGTCAGCAGGATCTGCAGCAGCAACAACATCAGTTCACAAACAGCCACACATTTGTTCCAAACAATGAAAGCAAACTGACAAACTAGTAAATTTCCCTTCACTGAAAGTGTTATAATCCTTGAGAAATATGAGTATTCTTGTATCAATGAAAGTTCATGGTTACCTCTCTGTACCGAAAGAATACCAGAACATGTACACACTGGATGAGTTCACAAGGATGTATGATGTATGGATGCCTCGCAGAAAAATTGATTCAAGACTTGGGAAGTAACGAGACTGTTTTCACAATAGTTTCAGTGAAGTTTGTGCTAAGATAATCTGCAGCATTGGAATGCACAATATTTTCTACAATCTTTTTCAAGGTTTCAACTGAGAGAGAGCATATTGAGCATATGTGGGAATTGTATGCCAGACACCGAGGTGAGACAACTACTAGACAATGTGAGATACACAACTGGACTCACCAGGAATGGCTGTGCTATGAAGATGCACATCATGAAGCTGAAGTACAGGGACTGAAGCCACATGGTGCTCTTGGTCTTCCCGAACCTACAACAGACAATACCACATTAACTCACTGGTGGAACATTGTGTTGGCTTTAGCCCATCGTGTATCAGGATTTCAAGCTTATATTCACACTGACTGATTTTATCTTATTAACATAATATTTCTGTTTTAATGTTATAAGACAATGTTTTATGAAAACATAAGACTCATGCAAATATGTTTGAATTGCTAACAGCATGGATCTAGCAGCAGTACCTAGAAGCAGTCTAGCAGGTCTAGATACACCCCTGGAACTCGTGTCACCAAGTGCTGTCTGGAACAAACAGATGATGCAGACACAAGCGAACTCACCTGAAGCCATATAGCACCGTGATGCCAGCACAGCCAACTGAGATAACGGCACATAGTGTCCATGCAATATAGCGGCACCAAAATGGCAGGAAGACTCGCTGACTGGAATGGAGTCGGTGCTGATCTGAAAGTAAATCCAATATACTGCATTAAGAATTGATAATCATTTTTCAGTATTCATGGTAAATATGTTATGAGTACAGTGTGTTACAAAATAAATTATCAAGTGAACCCAGTCCTCAGCGTGAGGGGCGAACGCTTTAACCACTTGGCTACCCAACCACCCCTTCAAACCAAAAGAAGCTAAAAGATGTTACTTGTTGTTTCACTGCCTGGCACTCGGCATTAAGGGAATAAAACAATGACTGGAGTGGGTCTGGCACTATAAAACCGCCATTAGTCTGGAACTGGTACAAACAGTACATGCATGCACATCACAATGAAAGTGCAAGAATCTTGAACGAGATGTTAAACCCCACTTTACCTCACCTACACTGGTATCCGAGCACAAACTCACTTATGCTGCATGAATCAGATACTACAGTTTTGCTACTAATTCCATGATAGTGAGGACATACCTCTGTGGTAGGTGTCCTGACACTTGGGTGGTGGGCTGGGGGAAGGTGCGCTTGCTATGGGCTGCACCCGGTTCTTGTCTGCTACACCCTGGGAGTAAGCCTGGCTTGTTGAGTCCTCAAACCCACTTGATGCTACATCAGTTTCCTCCTCTGTCAAAAAAAAATCAATATATAGTAGACTCACAGGAAAAATAATCATTAATCATTTTGCTATGTCTGTTACATTGATATTTTCTAAATAGCAAAGTTGCCAAATACAACCATTTTGTAATATCATAATCAGTAGCTTACTTGCGTCTCACATAAGTTTATTTAATGACAAAAATATGCCTAGAAACAACATTATTAGGAAGGGATTCTTTGACGAAAGTGCATTATGATTGGTTTGCCTTTTATCTTAACATAAGACTGACGCCATCTCCCATCACTCACCTTTCCTGAGTGTGAGCAGGACGGGTGGTGCCGGGGTCTGGGGGCTGCTGGGGTGGCTGGTCTTCACGCTGTTGGAGCCGGAGTGCACGGCCTGCTCTCTCTTGATCCACTGCTTCTGGGCCCAGTCCTGGATGCTCTGCCAGTTGAGGATGGACTGGTCCAGCAGGGAGTACGTCATGATGGGCTGGACGGTCTCCTCCTCATGCTCCCTTGACACCTCCTCGCTTGGCTTCCCACTCACGTACTCGGGCTTGTCCGGCTCCGAGCCTGGGTAACGCACCTGAAAGTAACATCCGTGTTTAACATGTGTTGAGTGTGGGTGGACGTTCAGTTCAAAAACACAAAGTTGAAATACAGGACAAAAGTACGCAGTAACAGTCAAATGTTAAGACTAAAGTATTAAATGTTACTTAAAAAGGTCTTAATACAAAACAAACAGATGCCAGGTTAAAAAATACAAAGTTGAAATAAAGGTCAAAAGTATGCAATATAATAGTCAAAAGTTACGAAAAGACATCATATAAAAAGAAAGAACAATGTGTATTAAAGAACAGCAGTGTGCACGAAGGACACTAAACTGCTAAAGGACATTGACAAAAAAACGCCAGATTGGTATGGTATACACTCTTCAGATGGTATGAAAATGTGCGTCTGAAACATAACTCGGCATCATAACATCCTCGTGTTGCAACAAGCAAGAGTCCTTTCCCGGGGATGATGCATAAATGCAACATGTATATACACAATGTGTACATTATACAGTATAAATATGTGACGTCAGACGGTGGGTGCACGAGGAATGACGTAATACTTGTACATGTCGTCATGCAGTTATCACATTCACAGCGGAACAAGCCGATTAAACTCGGATATAAATGCTTTATAAATGTTTGTACCATCTAGCGTTTATTGTCAACATCCTTTAGCAGTTTAGTGTTCTTTTGTGTGCACTGACGTTCTTTAGTACACATTTTTCTTTCTTTTCACATGATGTCTTTTCATAACATTTGACTATTCTTGCGTACTTTGGATCTTTATTTCAACTTTGTATTTTTGAACCGGTGTCCCTTTGTTTTGTATTTTGACCTTTATTAGTAACACTTTATTTGTAAACTCTGCCTATTATTGCGTACTTTTGTCCTTTATTTCCACTTTGGATTTTTTTACCAAATGGATGCCAATAGTTGAGGCAATGAGTGGTACAGCATTATAGAGAGGTATAGAGTGCTGCAATGTTGTAGAGAAGAACAGACTGATAGTACTGTATGGAGGAAAGGAGTGGTACAGCACTATAGAGAGGTATAGAGTGCTGCAATGTTGTAGAGAAGAACAGACTGATAGTACTGTATAGAGGCAAGGAGTGGTACAGCATTATAGAGAGGTATAGAGAGCTGCAGTGTTGTAGAGAAGAACAGACTGATAGTACTGTATAGAGGAAAGGAGTGGTACAGTGGTACGGAAGTCTGCGGTAGCACAGCATCCTGCTCACCCTACTTCTCCTGAACAGGAAGCCCAGCAGGAGGTTGAGGGGGATGATGAGGCTGCAGATGATGGCTCCGATGCTCACATTCTGCCAGGATGCGTCCAGCAGCCCAAACTCTCCTCGCACCTGCAGGAATAACAAGACATCCATTAATTCAGGGTCACCTTTGCATACAGAGAACTTCACTGTCAGGTAAGCTTGTGTTAATAAACTTCAAGTAATCATTATTTCTCCAAAAAGTCACATGAGAACCAATTGTTTTTCACCAGCTTCATCAACAATTCTATATCATCATTAAAATGAATACAATCATGATTCATCATATAATATTATCCAAAGTCTTTACTGTAATAACACAATCTAATAGTCGCTCATCAATATTCATAGTCAAAAAGCAATATTCTTATGTAAAATGATGACAGTGCTGAAGACTGAGTTTGAGTCTCACCTCTGTCACGGTCTGTTTGTACCACATTGCATTCAGACACATATAGGACATGAGCAGGGTAAGGCAGCAGGTGAGGCGCTGGGTGCGGGTGAAGCGGCTGTGAGCCGGGCGTGTCATCAGCGACGTCCAAAGATGGAAGTCTGCCATGTACTGCGTGCCCTTAGCCCAGAATACCTACAACATCAACACCCTTAACTTAAAAGTTTACTGAAGCTCCAATAAAATCTCTTGTTTCATTATTACAATGCATTTTGAGCATCCATCAAACACCATTAAGTTGTGCAATGTCACTGAACATATATTTAGATTATTTTGAAGGCAACATTTCCCACACCATTCCCAAACATCAAACTGTGCTTGATTTTGCTCACTAGTTTCAGTCACACACAATCACTCCTGCATGGTGCAAGTGTTAAATGGAATTTTTGTGGTTATATTCATTTTTTCTTTCTTTGAAGAGAGAAATTTGCAAATATGAACAGAGGTGTTACTTACCGTTGAGAATCCGATATCTCCGTCCAACGCCATTACTTCTCTTTCCACCTTCCCATCATCCTCCTCCACAGCAAACCATCTCTCACACAGGAAGTAGTACACGTGTCCTGCAACCATGACCATCTTACACGTGACAAGTGTTGCTTTGACTACATCAACATTAAACTTACTAGTCACATATACAGAAGCCTCGATCATAAAACGAGGAATTTCATCTAGCCTGGAGGCTACCCAAGCAGTGCGTTAATGGGTTTAACACCACTAAAGTGGTCTTTGTCTTGCCATGACTTGTGAGTTTGATAAAGGAGGAAATCCTAAAGTGATGAAGATCTCAGATGTTCTACAACTTTGCTGAAACCTGTGCGTACGGTTATAGTGCTCTCACAGCAAGGTTCCCTATCAGGACAAATCTGGAATTTGAACATGATCAGCGAATTCTGTCGCAGCTGAGAGACCCAACTCTGCACTGTTTATTGTTGCAATCTAAGCCACACATCCTGTTTATCAGTAATTATCAGGATGTATAACTTTAATCCAGACAAATTTGAAATTATTAGAACATAGATGAAATAATGTGTGACTTTTTGTTCACCAAATTGTCAGGAATTGTCAAGGAATGTCTCACCTGTAACGAGATCTCGAACCAGGACTCGACTCAGGTACCAGCTGGGGGAGGGGCCAGAATTGTTGTGCCACAGCTGCACTTTCCAGATCTTGCCCAGACTATCAGGATGACTATCAAAAACATCAGAATACAAAATTAGCCATCAACAATTTTGAAATAAATATCTTCATTTGCTGTGATGTGTTGTTATCAACAAAAATCCTGATTTAACACAATTTGGATAATTAACCATGGTGGACCAGTGAGAATAAAGGATAAAAACCTCAAGATAGAATTACTGTCAATCACATCATATCCATCAAAAAATATTCTGATCATTACATTCTGACCATACCAATTCAACCCAGGTCACAGCTATAAAAAGAAAATGTGACTCTCTATTAATGTCGTGGGCTTTTAAAGAGGCTGTTTACGACATTTTTAGCTTACCGGGACAATTACAGAAAGAAGTATCTACTAAGCAAAGATGAGTGTGCTGGTAACTCACGTCATGACAAACTTGTCCCTGGAGTTGCACTCGAACAGTGGACGGTTGTCGTCACTGATGAGCTCCCTCGTCTCTGACATCCCTTCCTCACCATGAATGATCATGCTGATCTGAAACGTACAGGCTCAATATTATCCAATATTTTGGCCTTATGTTGATTGGTTAGTTCATGCAAATTGTTGCACTGTTTTTATTGCTTGCAAAGTGGCCCAAAGCAACATGTTGTCATATCAACACATTGCCACAAAATTAATAAAATCATCCATATGACGTCACAGAAGGTATTAGGCATTATGTGTCAATATTCCAACAATAGTGACTGTGCTGATGTCTCGACTTGTGATCGTGAAACCCACATTTTTCTCCATTTTCTCAGAAGAAAAGACAGGGTAATACATGTATAAAATAATGGTGTGGAACACATGTACAATATTATTCCTGACAACCCATGTTGTCAGGTCACACATTGTACCCATCGAATCCACATTTGTTCATTCTTCTGGCAAGAATGAGACACCAGGGAACCAGGGAATTATACATTTTGTATAGGGTACATATATTTGCATATTTGGACCTTATACCTTTGCAGTGCTGCCAGCTCCCATTCGGAATCCTGTTTCCACGGTAACCTCATATTGTTGTTTATCACTTCCTCCATTGTCTGTAAGGTAGACAACTCTGCCTTTCTTCTCATCATGTATGTCTGCCTGACGGCAAAGTGCCAACAGTATGAAGTATGTGCAAAACACAAGACAGACAAGCACAATCGTCACTGGGTTCTCATGAAGACTGAAATACAAACAAAATATATTATTCCAAATGGCAACATATCAAAAACCCACATAAGCTTGGTTGGTTTGTTGTTTAACGCTGCACTCAGCAATATTCCAGCTATATGATGATGGTCTGTAAATAATCAAGTCTCAACCAGACAATCCAGTGATTAATATCATGAGCATCGATCCACGCATTTGTTATCGGTGACATGCATCAACCAAGTCAGACAATCCAGTGATTAATATCATGAGCATCGATCCACGCAATTTGGATCCATAGTCCTACTTATTTATTATAACTAAATTTGTTTTTGAATTGGGATTTATCTACTACACACCTGAAGAAGCTGTCAACATCTATGAAATTCAAATCATTTGCGACAAGGTCAATGTGCCCTCCAAATGCAGTCAAATGGTCACACCTGCGAAAACAACAGGACATCATTATTTAATAGCTTAATTTGTCAAAGGAAACATTATCTTAAAATGCCTAAAAAAAACCAGGACACATTATGACATTATGTTTTAAGTAAACAGCATAGACTTAACAATTCACATTCATAGTTAACATCCCTCAGATAGAAATGGACTCCACTAACCTGCAACGCATTTGCTCGGCAGTGGAATCTTCCATCACCTGGCAACCTTTGTGACTCCATGCGGCTTGCTTCTCATCCCAGAAGAGGCAATTATCTAGCCACAGTGAGAAGGTGTAGTTCCGAGCCAGCACCTGGCCCTCTCGATGGCGGCCCGCGTTGTAGTGGGAGTCAACGATTCCAAGGTAATACATCCCGCTGTCTGCAACATCATCAGCATTTCATAAAGAGAGCAGAATCCTACAACTAGGATGTAAGTGTAAGAGGTGTAAGAGGGGACCCTTGTATACCATACTGCTGGGTGTGAGAGGGGAATAAATTGTATTGGGTGTAGCTGGAATAGTCCTATAGCAAAAAGCAGCTGAGAGGTAAAAATGGAATGTAACAATACGCACTCACTCATAATTCTTCTACACAAAACATACAAAGCATGATACTTCTATTTGATTCGTTCATGCGTTTGAGAAATGATGCCAATCATAAAATAGCCAACCCAAGTTTTCAAGGATAAAACTTAGAGGCTTTTTCAGGATCTTTGATCACTGCATTGTGTCACTTATTGACCAAGTTAGGGTGATACTGACCATTGAAAGTTCCAGTGGGCAGGAATATTGTGATGTTGTCTTGTCCAGTCGGGAAGTTCTGTCTTAGGTAGTACCGTTGGGGGGTGGGGTGGTGGAATTGGCTGAAACAGGGAACACAAGCTGCTAACAGACAAACAAAACCTTCTACCATTCAGTAGATGTGCATGGGACTTTTGTAGTAACATTTTATAAGGTTTACAGATGCGATTCTTCTCTGCCTCACAAACATAACTGGGTAGGTTGGCTCTACACACAATGGCTTGAAATAAATGCTTTCATAATGATATGTATACCAATGTTGAGGAAAAATACTTTGGTGAAATGTGGCCCCTACAGATTATTGAACTTCTATTATTATCTTTTTTTTTATGCTTATGTCCATTTTCGATGTAAATAAATTGCTTTGATATTACATTTTATGGCTTGATCATTTTAAACCATACAAATGCAAGCAATTTATGATGCTTACTTTGAACTTTATTGCCATATTTTTCAAGTAATAACTGTGTCAGGGCAGCTATATAATAGCATCAAACAGATGGCAGATAGATCAGCACTAAGTAGTATGTCTACATTTTGTGCAGAAATATTTGTGGAGGAGACATGAGAGAACTTGAAATTTGGTGCTTTTCCATAGCCAACTGTGACGATGTGACATAATAATAGTGAAATGTGTCGTAGTGCGATTATTGTATTGTTCAGTTCCAACTTTAATTTAGCTTGGCTAAAGCCATAGGTAACCTAGCTCTCAATTGAAAACACAGTACATCTTTCTCCTTGTTATGATGTTTTCTACAGAATAAGGTTTCCTCCATATGTGGTAGACACATAGAAAAGAAATCCTTATATACTAATAAATTTTTACAAAAATATTGCGTGTTTGTAGTTTGACAACATACACATCAATATTCCAGCTATATAACGGTGGCCTGTAAATAATTGGGTCTGGGCCAAATAATCCAGTGATTGATATTATGGACAACGATCCACCCTGTTGGGGTATAATGGCACTCTATCAACCAAGACACCAAGCCTGACCAGCCATTAAGGATGATAGGGACCAATTCCAGAATCCCCATGTGGTTCCAAAAAAGAATAATGGAACAGTGTGTTATTTCCTTACATGTATATAAAGTAAAGTATGAATACAGCATGTGAATTTACAAGTAAGGTAAACAGGCTTCCTATATTTTTGGACGGTTTGCATAAATTCAGCAGCAGACTTTCAAGATAAGGTCATCATGCCTTATCTTTCCCTGAAGACAAGTCACTCATCAGATACACCTGAAACTTTGCTCACCTTGAAATATCAGGTTTGAGTCAAAATTTCAGGCACATCCAACAAACACATCAGGGGAGGTTACTCTTCCTTCAACAGCACATCAAGGGACATAACCCCAATCTTGGTACTTGAAGCTTCATTGCTACATTCCATCCATTTGTCCTCAATCTAATAAGCACTTACAAACTCACCCTATAAGCAGGGCGATTGGGAAACTTCGACCAGGCACTGGGTCAAGTTGAATAGAGATGTGGAAGGGCTGGTCTAGATTCTGCCTTGTGAGATTGAACTGATGGACATTCATGTACTTCTTGTCAAGCACATGTGTACTGTAAGTGGCTCCCTGGAAAGAAAGAGTAATTATTTGTAAGAAGCAATTATTTTTTTTCTAATTGTTGAACCTAATTCGGAGATATATCTCAAGCAGAGCTGTCAGTATTTTGAAGGGTGACTATGAGTGAATCATTAGAGCAGGATACCTGATACAAACTCACAACACTCACCACATGATAGATCTGTCTGATGTTAGTATATCTGTTAAATGCACCTGAAACTTTGCTCACCTTGTTATCTGCAGGTTTGAGCCAAAATCTTAGGCACAGCCAACAAACACTAAACAGGGGAGATAACTCCCGATTTCACTGAAGGGAAATAACCCCACTGTGACACGCATACCACAAGAAATTGTGAGTGAATATGTGGGTCCGTCATCCCTTTAACAATACTCATACCTTGGCATGGTGTCACAAACCAAAACATGAGCGCATCCAATATAATGTAGGACTAAATGAATCAAATATATAGATGAGTGAGTTAAATTTTATGTTGCTGTGACAATATTTTGGCCATATACCTTATTTGCCATAATAAGTGCCCTGGGAGCTCAGAAAATTGGCAAAGGGAATGTTTATTAAAACCATACACAAAGACTTACATCTGTTTTCTGAGATGAAGTGGTAGTAAACATACTTAGCTCAAATGTTGACGAAACTGACGATAATAGTTAGAAGGCAATCATATAACCCATCTGAGCTGTTGTTTTCTGTACAAATTGAGTACAGGGCGTAAAGCACTTAGTACAGCAAATATGGTAGGAACAATAATGAGAGATAAAGTCATGAACAAAACTTTGAGGATAACAACACAATATTATCTGATGAATGACCATTTGGCAGTTTCGGTCTTTACTGCAAAGCTGGAAAGTTTTGCGAGAAGGAAAGTACTGCAAAACCTGTGAGTGACACACTCTCTCATTAGTTTCAGGATGCAGTTATTTTTACAGGCCATCAACAAACAAAATATGTAAGGAGCCTTTATTTGCTATTCACCTCCATTTGTCACACCAACCTGTGCATTATTAAACATGTAATCCCTCATAAACCGTTTCCTTGACTATACATTGTCACTCAAAGTCAATAGTCCAGACAAGAAGGTTCACATCTCATCAAGCTGCCAGTCTCTACTGTTAGTTAAACACGCTACTCCAATCTTCCTGGTCAACTTCAACAACATAGGAATCTATGGTTATAAATCACTGAGTCATTCCTAAATACCACCTGCAAACGTATCTTTGATATTTGATAATCCTAACAGGATGTCACAAAACTCTCCAGATGCAGTCAAGGCTATTGTTAGCCACCTGCAATAATTCATGGTACAAAACAATACAGATTTACAGTACTTACTTCCCGTTCTTGCTGGGGAATCTGTATAAACACTTCAGCATCTGAAGGTAGGTGTTTGACGGAAATGTTTTGCCCATCACAGGAATACAGGTTGAGGGCCAACACCTCGGCTTGCACCTGGAGACAACAATGATATTCCACTTAGAAACCAGGGAGGTCACATGATTTACATAACGCAACTTAATCCTTGACGATCATTCAACCATTTAATGTGATTTAACATAAAGAAAACACTGTCAAACTGTCAATCAAAGTTACTTTATATTCATAAGGAACCATAGACTCAAAAATAACTCAATCAATATTTGAAAAGATTAAAGTCTCACTGCAACAATATTCTGTGAATATAAATAAATCATCTTAGCAAAATTCTCTAATTTACTAACTATAAGAAAAACTAACAAAGTTTTAAGGCTTTTCAAAGTCTAAAAAAGATATTCCTCCTAAGAGCAGATCAATTTGGTCTGATTTAAGAGATTATGATGAAAACACAATTATGTGTTTATATCCAATGACCAGGTTCCAATAGAAATATCTCGTATTTCATTCTACAAAAAAGCTTAAAACTATTGAAAGATTGCAGAAAATAGTCAGCAGACAAAACGTGATTTTGCTTGAAGAGAACCAATCTAAATTTTCAGTTATAATCTTGCTGAAGCCATAACAAATAAATTGGGCCCTCGACAGAATTTGATAAGATCTTATTGAACGTTAAAAATTTAAACAGCTAAATACTGAAATGCAAGTTTCTTTTTCTGCCTGCCGACATGGTATTTGATCAACTTCACTGCCTTAACAATATTGAGTATTGATATAGCATCAGGGCCCCTCAACTTGCAGCATAGTATGTTTTTACTCACAACAAAAACTTCAAATTGCTAGGAAATTATTTGAGGATATAGCTGCCAAAACGGCAAACTCCTGCATGAGACTAGCGTATTAATCACCCTGTCAGCACAAAATCAATTCTCAATATCCTTCAGTTTGTCGGAGTCAAGTCGTTACTTACTTTCCAAATTTGGTCACCAAGATGGGAAAATGGATTTTTCTTGAAAGAAGTCATATGAGCCTGAAAGCACTCAGCATTCATTGAACTTGACTCCTGATTTGGGCTGACTTTTCTGGCTGTTTGAGTAATGGCGGCCATATTGGATGGCAGTTTAAACTGAGCATCATTGATGCTGATGATGGTGGCCAACCTCGGTGTGTATCGGGACCCCAGCACTGACACAAACTCAGCTGATCGCTGGATGGGGGCCTCGCCGATTGAGTGATGATTAAGCTCCACCTGAAGAAGAGGCAGGGAAATTTTTAAGGCTTCAGATAAAAATCTTAACTTAAATGGTGACTTGTCAGGAAAACAAACGTCTGTGAGCTAATAGCTTCTTTGTAACTTGGACGTAAAATAACATAGACATGAGATTTGACAATTTCCAGCCAATGAATGAAGGACTTTCATGCATGAAGTCCACAGCTGGCATTTGTGTAACTCTGCCATGGCACGAGACGCAGCAAGGACTGTCTGTAGTAATTATTCTAATTTTCTTTTTCAATCAGTGAAGACAGGACTGACTTATGGACATCGACTTCTTTAAGAATTTAAATGCGACGTTTCATTTAAGTACCGAAACAATAGAAATTGACATCCATCAGTGGATCTTGTCTTCATCAACACTACATCAATAACTCACATTGCACATAAATCTGGTACATGCTCACTGGCTGATTTCGGCATAGAGTCTGCCGTAAATGTCTGTTAAACTTCCCAAATTGTAATCAAAGAATTCCCACTTCATGTTGATCTTGTAATAATTTACACTCAGCTTTGTAGAGGACCTCTATTCCACTATTAAGTAACTGACAGGACCATTAAACAGGATGAGACTCAGATGTTTAGTTTTACACTGCAGCATTGAATGCTTTGTTAAAATACAATGTTTAAATAACTCTGAAAACATATCAACTTAAATATCCTAATTTTGAACAATATGCAAGGTAATAAATGTTTTTCCAATTTGCCTGCCTCGATATGTCCTTGATATGATAGACAGACCTTTCAATCCTAAACTACATGTATAACCGAGTGTGATAAACCTTTAAGAAAAGCCTACTTTCCCTGACATTAAAAAAGAATGAATTAATAACAGATGAACAATTTGAAAAAAATTCTTATGGTATTAATTTCAAATATATATTCATATTGTCAGATTTATTATCTTTGTAAGTATCCAAGTCATTCAATCCATCTTGTTCTTGTTGTATTGTTTCTAGACATACTGGCTATACACTCTTATCATATTACATTGATCGATTCTTAATACCAGACTTGTGCTTTATAGAAAACATAAATCTCCCCTTTTAGCCTATTTAAGAGTTTCAAAGATTGGAGAAAATCAGTGATAAATTCAACTACTTCCTGTGGGGGGAAGAAACAATAATATTTCTCCCAAACTATACTCCTGTTCTTCCTCTATATTGGGATGCACTTGCCATACATGTTTAAAATTTCCAAATCAGTAAAAAGTCAACACTTGATGACAGAAACTCACACCAAATGAAAATTAAAAGTCCAAAATGGAAAAACTTAGCTTATCAGTTATACATGGCTTCTACCACATCCATGAAAAAATGTCAATAAAATGCCCAAAAGGAGCGATTAAGTCTTTCAGCAAACTCCTTCATGCAAAATAAAATTGAAATGAAAGGTCATTGACAGAAAAAAATCTGTTCTTGTTGAAAGATAGCTTGGCACTGTCAATGAAGCAGAATGAATTTTGACACTTATAGGCAGTCTTTAGAAAGGATCTTAACAACACCAGCTCGATGAAGGAGAGAAAAAATACTTCCCAGTCAATAGGACTGGAGAATCACATAAAAACCTATGTCAGGCAATCGGTCAAATGTCCAAACAAGCACATACATAAGTCAGTAGGCATTGGCTGAGATTTTGTCAGAAACATTCACTATGCACATAAGAACCCAAATCTTCAATGTGGAAATAGATTCAACCATATTGATTCCCATTTTGGTACAAAGTGTCATGAATTTTGATAAGTCTGCTTCATGATTATTGCCATTTGTTCTTCTTTTATTCTGTTGAAAGTGTATACACCAAAAATTTGGCTTCCATCATCATCATCATCATTAATTAATTAATTACATTACTAAAGATTAAACTATAATTTTGGTTTCTATCATCATCATTACCATCATCATCATCATTAATTAATTAATTACATTACCAAAGATTATACTATAATTTTGGTTTCTATCATCATCATCATATTATCACGATCTAACCCTCCTGATCAGGCACAGCACTTAACACACAAGTCTTTCACACAAGTCTTTCACCCCAGTTTAAAGGAAGCAAAGGATAATGCAGTGTCCATGCTGAACCACGTGACAGGGATCTTGTTTCGGACCAACAGGCTTCAAGAGGCAGTTTCTCTCTCATCTCAGACACCTCTTACACAATCACGAACAACGGCCTGTCTGACTAGAAGCAAAACCATTCCCAGAAAAGACCAGTCAATGTTCACCTCTGATCAGGTATTTATCTCCTACAATCCATCTTATGATTTTAAAGCACCGGGACTATCTTGAGCCTAGTGGTCCATCAACAACTCGTGGCCCTGGACTTTGTCAGCTCCCAGACATCCTAGCTCCAGAAACAACTCAGACACCGGCAGCTATTACAAACAGTTATGTTTTCACTAGCCCCTACAACACAGACAGTGGACAGACGGTTGCTCCTGGTGATGGACAAGGACAGAAGTAGCTTTCACTGGAATAGTGTTTGTGGTATCTTAAGACATACGATGAAAATGTATGACCGCACAATGAAATAATCACTTTATTATACATTCATTTAATAAGAAAATTATGCCTTCATATTGGTATATTTCAAGCATCTAACTGATGTTTATCACGAAATTATTATTTATTCTTTTTTCCATATTCACATGATTCAATACATCTAATTATTTGATTTATACAATCTTGTATTTTCATGATTCTCTTAAACGGGTAGGGAACAAAACTAATAAAAAGTACAAATTATATCTAATGTTCAAATAAGTAAGAGGACCATATCACTAGGATTATTTATGACATATGGACTTTAACACATCGTGGTAGCATAAGTTTATGATAATTCAGGATGATATTTAGTTCATTATACATCCTTCTCAATAAAAAACCCATTAAGAAGATGATTCAGTGATCTTGTTCTTAGCCAAGTTTACAAGGGCCACAGAGGCAAACAATGTGTCTATAGCCCCTATCTTCCCCATATATCATGGCTGTTAATACACTGCTCTGAACGTAACCAGAATCTGTAAAGATAAATAATCTTCTGTATGTTTTTCTTTCACTTTGTCCATTACACCTTATTGATGTCAATGCATGTCCTATACCCACTTCCTCAACAAGCAACAAACTTTCCTCAATATTTGCAACTAACTTATTTACCATAAATCAATTATTGAGCACTTCTTATCTCCAAGGAAAAGATTATTTAACAAAGCTCACTATCAGGATTTAACAGTCTCTGTGGACGAAAGTTCCTGAAAATATCAGGACCTGCTACAGACATGATTTCTTGCCAAGTTAAACTATTCAATCATGGTATCCTATCCTTGTCAGGATAAGAAAAGATGATAAATTGTTAGTCAGCTTTTTGAGACATTTAGTAGTTTTCGACAGATTAATAAACAAATCAATACTAACATTTCACCACAGCAATGTAACATCTATGTCCTTAGGAACACATAAATCAATAGATACACGAGATCCCACCTCTGCTACAAATGGTATAAGTGGTCATCCAATGTTTAATCAATAATGGCAAATCCCATAGAAGCATTCGTCTCACACTTCCAGCTAACATTGAAAGAGGTTCTTCCTTGAAGCAGGACAAATTGTCTACAGATAGCTATCAACTACAATTTCAACATCCCACTGACAAATACCTGCAGCAGCTTGTCCAGGACGGTCATCGCTCGGATGGTCAGGGTCCGGGGACCCTGCTTATCAGCCTGCTCCACCGATGCCCCGATGATGCTGGACACAGCCTGGATGGCCAGAGTTAGGATATCTTCGCCTGGATCGGCAATATCCGCGTAGAGAACCTCTGTCCGTGTTTGTATCGATTCCAGGAGTCGGAGAGCCCGCTTCAAGGAACGAGTACTGAGCTGCAAGAAAGAAAAGAACTCTTTATGTCAAGTGGTCGATTAAGTTGACCCCCTCATACAAGTCGTCAGCAATTTGTAAGAGGATTGTTTGCGACTTATCATTTGGCAGTTTTGTCCTGTCAACCCACAACAGTTGAGAATGAAAAGAAGGAGAGCGCTGGTACATAATACCCACTGCTCACGATGACCATTGTCTATTGCACAAATCAGGGACATCGATGCGGAGCTGTCAAGGAGAAAACAATTCACACATCGTATCAAAGTTAGAAAATAATGCACACTGCACTATCCACCCAAGGGGAAAATTAGACATGAAACTGCTATCATGAAAACAACTTCTGTGTGTAACCTACTTGCACCATGAAAAACAGAAACAGTTGTATGACTGAGCTAATAAAAATGTGATAGCAGAGGGAAGGCCTTATTTTCTGCAATAAAAAGCAATCAATTTCTTGCCATGATCCATTGCACTCTGCCTAATGAATACAAAGTTTATTACTGATTAATCAATTATTTCCATGACCATGTTGGGCTCTTATCCATATTTGCCTCCACTTGAAACACAGAATAGATTTATCATGATCTCGAGGAAAGCAAGTCCACTGACACTCTGTATTGACAGTGTACACTAGTCAGCCAGCTAGCTAATGGAAAAACAGCAGCCTCAGGTGTGGATCCTATGTATGAATACAGTTGTCAGGATATCGCTATCTCCAGCTTATTACGGTTTCTTCATCACATATCTAAACAGTTACTTTGCACGTCATATAGTTATTATTAAATTATTGAACACTTATTGAAATATAATACCATCAGCTTGGTATGTTTATATTTTACAAGTAATAAACGATAATATTTCATATGTGACATTCTATTTCAAACCAAATAAACGTATTGTCAACGTTCTTGATATTTAAAAGAAAATCACACATTGATATATTACCATGATGATCGATAACTTGATAAAAAACAAAACACAGAAACTAAATATACAACAGTGTATCATAAAGTCGATTTGAGCGTAAAAACAGAAAGTGTCCCACAAAATAAGAGAGATCAAACAGGTGCATTTTAAAAGCCTGTCATTTCATTTTTAATGAAAAATGAAACAGTATTATTAAGTGCAATTTTCCCCACGTGAAATCAACTTGTAATTTTATAATGTTCCATCATTCGCCAAACTTAATATAGCTTTCAGTTATAGCCTAACAATGAACCTCAGATTCTGCATAGCAACATGCTAACAAATAAAATCTTTACGAGATCGTCATATTTCACTGAATCATTAGAGGGCATTCATTTCTTCTAAGCAGAAATCTATACACAAGATTTGGCCTAGGCTATCAAACCTTTCTGTTACAAGTACGAACATGGCAATAAATAGCAGCCCAACCCAATAAACTCTATTTCAGATAATCATAAATCGAGGCTGAAAGCATGGGTGGGTAGTGAAATATTACATCTTTAGAGTCAATGTTTATCAACAAACACTCGTCCCAGAGACTTCGAAGGCAAGACACTGCTAAGTTCTTTATCTGTAATAAGTGCACAAGTACAATCACTTAATTGGTGTTGGCAACACAGGACCTATTTTAGGAGGTTTATCAATATTTGTGGCCAGATACTACCCACTGACAGCCATTTCATCAACTCGAATTCATATTGATTTGGACAAACGCGACAAAACCCCTTTCAAGGCATGATGAAGGCAATTAGACGGCAGACTTTTGTTCCTGTCCCAAGTCTTTTTACATGAGCGATTTGTGCGCAGAAAATACCAACTTAAGCTCGATGGCCTGACGGTAGTAGTTCGTGAAAGGAACAACAGTCATAATATTCCTTGTCGAAATCCAGGGAATTTACTTCGGGAAGTATCCAAGGGGTTTTATCGTATTCGCGGAGAAGGCAACATCTGCATTGTTCACATGGAGACTGTTTGATAAAATCTGCTTGCTTGCCAACCATTATATTCCCCAAATACTGCTATCGATTTGCCTATGAAGGGAGTAATACAATAAGTATTATCTGTCCATAAACAGATTAAGGGCCCGCTCTGGATGTGCCCCTTCCACATCAAAGAAGATTCCACTCTCAAATTATTCATATGGCACATGTAGGCGAGTCTACAAGAACTTTACTTTGTACACATCTCTTAACCAAATCTTGTGACAAGAAATCGCTACAAGCATAAAGGAGGGTGAGATGGTTTCAGGATCTTGTCTTTGTTACTCGTTTCCTCATCTTCTATCCCATGTCCTTTCATCTTTCCTGGACTCTTGTGTGCAGAGTAATATATCCTTCTATAACAACCAAGCTAAGCTTGGGACAATTACCAGCCCGAGCAATTTTTATTCATAACTTTGAGGCAACTAGGAATATCTGAACAATTAGGGTCGAAAAATAACTGATTCTCAGAATAAATTACCAATCACTGACTGTAGCATATTGAAATAAAAAAATCACTTTTACATAGCATTGTATAACCCAAACTCTAAAAGCTGTGAACAAGGTAGAACATGTGACTATTAATTGAATATTAATTGGTTGTATTTGTGTCAGTGTCTGAATCGAGGTCAGTAAGCTGGCATCTCTGCTTCTGTCTACAGTTTTAAGATTTATATAAATGTAGGCAATGCCCCACTCACACACTGTACAACATATAATGTCTGAACCTACACACCAAACCATGGAGCAGTCTCCCTTAGAATTCACTTTCTCTTTACCATACTAATACCGGTAATCAATTCATTTATTTTGCCGAAAAAAAAACTAAATTATAAAAAAATTAACGCATCAATTTGAGGACCTTAATTAAACGGTAAATGCAAAAAATATACTTATTGTATATTCTCAAGTGACACTGAAAAAAAAGCTAGGTAACTCTGATTTCATTACAAGCGATACAGATACTGTAGGAACTACACTCAATAGTCTCGTGCCGATGAAATATCTCCACTTGACACAAAACAAATTAAAATGTCCATTACAAAAGCTCTCCTATGTGTGTAGAAAGTATCACACTCCATCAAACTCATTCAAATATTTTTTCTCATTTTTCATGAACAAACAGTGAAATTGATAAATATACTGCAAGAGCACAAAAAAGCATCTCAATCTATTTGACACAACTGCATGCCTGACTCTTATTTGACAAAATGATCAAACAACACAAATTGCTGTCCATGGTTCATAAGCAAACTTTATTATCTTTTTCTCGTACTAACCAAACAAGCCTCTTGACTTTGGCAGTAATTTGATTGGATTCTGTGAAATTATAGACTTGCTCGCTATAGCTGTATACAGGGTGAACACCACACACGAGTCGCCCGGTACAAAGTCATCTAAAGGCAATCGTGATCATTAGACATTAGCATGAGTGTCTCCAGTATCCAACAGAATATACCTCAATGGACATCGATGTGATTAATGTGGGAAAGTTCTCACCAGTGAACAGGCCACCGCTCTTCTCAAACTATGATCTTTTTCAAAAAAGGTTTTCTTTTGCAGCGAACTGATTTCACAGATTTCTAAATTATGTTATTTCAAAGCATTTTATGTGGTGTGAAGGACAGTTACATGGACCAGATATTCAATTAATCTTGAAGTATTTTATCTGAATGGACTCCTATCAATGGCATCTGGAGGTTAGATGGTCTGGGATGGAATTAGTTTCCATTTTTAAATTCTTTTCTAGGAATTTTGTGAATGCTCTTGATTCTGAAGAGCTAGCTGAGGGTAGATTGAAGTAGAAAGGCAGAAATGAGTATTTAGAGATTCTTAAATGTATTTACATTGAATAGGTTAGAGCTTGCATTTAGGTTCAAGTTTTACAGTTTATGTACAGGAGAGAACTGAAAGGATGGATGATGAATAAAAATCAACAAAATTCCAAAATTACACCCAAATCCCTAAACCAACGATGAAATAGTCCCAGACTTTACACATGATTAAAATAAAGACCTAAACTCCCAAATAGAACTGAATACATTCATTATGTAAGTCCAATCCCACATTCTTCGTTCTATTTCTCTGTGGTAAGCCAGGCGGTGAATATTATGTGTACCCATGGAGATTTTGATGACTATGTCTTTCAGAAGCAGCAGCCAGTTGGTTACTTCTGGTACCATTGACTTTGAAAACAGAATGGTAATACACTCAGCCCCACCCCAGATGCTAGAACACCCTCCCCCAAGCTTGACAACAGAACAGCCTCCCCCCACCCCAGATGCTAAAACACCCCCCCCCCCCCCCCATCCCAGATGCTAGAACACCCTCCCCCAAGCCTGACAACAGAACAGCCTCCCCCCACCCCAGATGCTAGAACACCCTCCCCCAAGCCTGACAACCACACAGCCTCCCCCCATCCCAGATGGTAGAACACCCTCCCCAACAAGCTTGACAACAGAACAGCCTCCCCCCACCCACGATGCTAGAACAGACTCTCCCACCACAGATGCTAGAACAGACTCCTCAAGCTTGGTAACAGAACAATGGTAGAATGCCCTCCCCTACCCCCGATGGTAGAACCCCCCCCCCCCCCCCCCTTGATGACAGACCAGCCTGCTCCTGAACAAGTTCAACCATGTTTGCTGTACACCAGCTTGCAATAGAACTATCAATAAACTTGCTTGAACAACCTTTACTTTCTGCTTTTACAGGTTATGGTTATTGATGTCTAATACATTTTGTGGAATTTATGGATGCATGCATAAACAAAAAGCAGACTGAAAGACGTTGTCGTTTAACTGCTATGTGTAAGATCAGTGTTATAAGGCATATTGATATGAACCGCTTTCAAAACACTTTGCCAGATGCTTTTTCTGTGAAATATTCCAGAGGCAACTGATCACAAATCTATGACTAGTTCCCTTTAAACCACGATAAACATGATGATAAAACCTATTCCTAAAAAATAATATCACAAAGTTCATTATTTATTTCAACAAATTATTTTTTTAATTAAATTTAAAAAAGAATAACAATATAAAAACATGTTTTTATTCCTCATCCGTTTCATCCAAATTGAAATTTTATTCCATCCTCTTGTCCACCTGCAATCGCAGTGAAACAGACCTATATGGAAAGATCCCACTTCCTAATGATAGAGTATTTTATCAAATTAGAACCGAATCATCCAATACCAAATTCACACGAAACAAATCCACCGTTGACTGAGTACACAAAACTGCACATGCTCACTCACACTGATAACTTGGCAATGTTTGCCCATCAAGCCTTAAAAACGTTGGAATATTCATAGACACATCTTTGCCAAACATCACTAAATTAGTCTCAAAGGCTATGTGGACATCCCTCACACCACCTCTCACCACCCAGAACCACTCAGTTAATTGACATAAACCCAAATTGGTCAAAGTTTTATACAGGGATCCTATGGCAGACTCAAGCTCTGGAATATTCAAATAATGCATGAAATATATACACTCTTGGGGAGTATACAGGAACTTCTGGACACAGGAATTGTAAATGTTGGCACTGTTTTGATCATGTTTCTGAACCAACTTGTATAGGTTTTTAGCATGAGAGACCAAGCATCTGTCATATTCACATCAGGACAAACTTTATGTATTGATTGTGTTAAGGTTCCAATCTGTTATCAATAAAATATTCAGGGAAGGATCAGACTACAGCCAGCAGAAAGACATTCCGACTCCAGGAGACACAACCACCAGACTGACTCTCCCCCAGACAATAGGCCACAAAACAGGACCATATACTACAGCCAGCAGAAAGACATTCTGACTCCAGGAGACACAACCACCAGACTGACTCTCCCCCAGACAATAGGCCACATCACAGGACCATATATACTACAGCCAGCAGAAAGACATTCTGACTCCAGGAGACACAACCACCAGACTGACTCTCCCCCAGACAATAGGCCACATCACAGGACCATATATACTACAGCCAGCAGAAAGACATTCTGACTCCAGGAGACACAACCACCAGACTGACTCTCCCCCAGACAATAGGCCACATCACAGGAGTATATACTACAGCCAGCAGAAAGACATTCTGACTCCAGGAGACACAACCACCAGACTGACTCTCCCCCAGACAATAGGCCACATCACAGGAGTATATACTACAGCCAGCAGAAAGACATTCTGACTCCAGAAGACACAACCACCACCCTTACTTGTATTTGCTTTGAAAGGAGTGCTGTTGATTCCAAGGTTGTATAGCATGTACAACAGTGTTGACCTCATGCAATACAAGATGATACTGTGCTTTGTTGTCTGGGGGACTAGGCATATCAAAAAGTTAGGTGATTTCCAACCTTTCCAAAATGCTTAGCTGGATGTTTCATCCACATACTTTTCAGAAGCTGGTGAGTCAGCCAGTTGCCACTTGATCAGAGTGAATGTTACAATGGCTGCAGTACCTACCTCTTGGGGTACAGCTGTGGTGGCCGCCAGTGACTGGGCAATCTGTATAACCTCAACCTGCATAACACAAGAAAACATAGTCAGTCTCCTAGCAACACAAACATCACTTGGCAACACAATTGTACCACCATGCAACACATTTGTGTCCCCTGGCAACAAAAATATCTGTCCCCTGGAACAGTGTGTGAGTAAACATGTTAAGTGACATCGGCAGTATTTCAGCCATACTGCTACAAGTGAATACATAAAATGACAACATTAAAAAGACATGACTATCAGGGATTATCATGAATTTATTACATATGAGAGAAAATCTCCCCTGGTCCAAAAGCAATGAGATTTTTTGGCGTGTGATGAGATAAAACTATTGAAAGATGTACGCGATTTTCAATCGCGCTGATTGAATGATGATGTGATATCTACGACAACCATGCGAGAATATCGCGGAGCCGGGGCCTAAGTCAAACCCTGGACTATTACATGATAACACAATTTGAAAACAGGGCTATAGATCACCAGCAACCAAAGTTGGGTCACCATACTAGAGACTATCAGGACTTATGGTATCTCTACCTGCATGGTACCCCAGCAGGACTAACCTAATCTTCAAGTTGATGATGATTGGCTGCAAGTTGGCCATGCATCTCAGAGTGCTACAGAGGACTACAATGGATATGAAGAAGGTACTGTACCTCATCTCGGAGGGGCAGCTTGAGCAGGTCGTCCAGGAGCCTGTTCCGCGTCTCCTCTCTCATGAACCATTCTAGAGAGGACATGTTCACCTTCGGGGATCTGTTCATCCAGGTGGCCATGTTGCCGATGAGTGTACATGTCGCTCTGTCATCACCATAATTCTTGGCTTTTTGATACGGTTTGTAAAACAACACCAGAGGATCCAGAGAGCTGCCATTGCCTTTTCTGGAATAAAAAAATAAAAAAATGAACGTCCCACTTGACACACCATATCAAAGAGTAAGAAGCTGACACTCAAACATGAACTCTTCGCTCCAAATGTAGTTCCAGCTGGTACAACACACTGTATTGATGATGAAGTATAATTACATATTAAGTAAGGTTTCGGGTATCAGCTACATCTCATGACTGGTAATATAAACTGACAAATCTGAACAAATGCGTTTATGCAGAGGAAGTCTATGAATATATAATGAGACAGATACATAATGGTGAGAACAATGTGTAGTCAGCTACATAGGAATGTCTAGCAAAAGTATAATTAATGATGCTGACATAATTAGTTTTATTGTACCGTAGTCAACTGACTTGGACCTGTATGTCCTAGGATTCACAACACATTAATCCAGTAGAATGGTGCCTGTTTTGTTTGTTGCCTAACACAACAGTCAGCAGTATTCCAGCCATATCACAGCCGCATGTTAATAATAGAATCTGGACAGGGCACATCAGTTATGCATATTATTTGATCAACATCCCACGCCATCATGATACAAATACACACAATCGCCAAAGGTTGATCACCCAATCCAGTTTTGAATTCTTACAACCACCACAAGTTATTTGGGGACTAACCCAGCATCCCCACTGGGCCTACCATGGCAACAGTTCAGTGGTATAATGTTCCTGGTGATGTGCATGCCACCATGGCAACAGTTCAGTGGACTAATGTTCCTGGTGATGTGCACGCTACCATGGCAACGGTTCAGTGGTATAATGTCACTGGCTACATGCATGCTACTATGGCAACAGTTCAGTAGTATATTGTTCCTGGCTACGTGCATGCTACCATGGCAACAGTTGAGTGGTATAGTGATCCTGGTTATGTGCATGACACATGGTTCATAGTTTCTGCATTCAGTGAGCCACAGCTTATAACACTGTCTCCCAGAAAAGAAATTTCAAATTCCTTTAATCTTAACATTGTGTTCGCTGAGAGAGATAGATTCATATAATATTAAACACAGACATAAATAGCCAACATGTCAGTCCAAATTAAATACACGAACATGTCCTTTTCAAACAAAAATCTAATTTCCGTCCGCTGATGAAATTGACTCATATACGTAACAAAATTAATTTCCTCCCCAGCCTGTTTTCGTTCGCTTGCAGTAGGAAACTACCCACACGTATTTCATTCCAATCTGAAATTTATCAGAAACATCTCACATACTTTCACTGCCATGTAGCAGTGCATAACAGGATTACAAGATAATCTAGTGGCAGGCTGCTTCATCAAGTAACTGGCGATGCAAGTTCAGTGGAGAGAAAACATGATTGTAGTTCGCACCATACACGGGTACAAAAGTATGCTTCTTCTATTTCTCTTTCCATCTCTCATTCTGTCTGTCTTTTATTCACTATTTCTGTCTCTTATTCTCTTCCATTCATACTTCAAGGTGGATATTCTGGGGTAGAATGGTTGCACATTACCCCATGCTTGTCTGACGGGACACCAAAATGGATTAGGTGGCCACAATGGCAGCAAAAAGTGACAACTGAGGACCTGAGTACACATGCCTGTTACACGGAGTAAAAATCTGTGAACTAGTTAAATATTGATATCTATGACGTGAAACCCTGTCACAGAAAGTATGCTTCTACGGGCTGTCTTTAGCAATATTCCAGCAATTTCAAGGTGTGGGGCACCTAAAAGGGCTTCACACATTGTACCCATGTGGGCAGTCAAATCCAGGCCTTCAACACGACGAACAAACATCAGGTTACCCAACCGCCCCTAAATCCCTTCACAGCGATCAACTTGGAGAGCCCTTGGGTGACGGTGCAAATTGACAACCTGGAGAGACCTTGGGTGACGGTGCAAGTTTACAACCTGGAGAGACCTTGGGTGACGGTGCAAGTTTACAACTTGGAGAGCCCTTGGGTGACGGTGCAAATTGACAACCTGGAGAGACCTTGGGTGACGGTGCAAGTTTACAACCTGGAGAGCCCTTGGGTGACGGTGCAAGTTGACAACCTGGAGAGCCCTTGGGTGACGGTGCAAGTTGACAACCTGGTGGCCCTTGGGTGACGGTGCAAGCTGACAACCTGGAAAGACCTTGGGTGACGGTGCAAGTTGACAACCTGGTGGACCTTGGGTGACGGTGCAGGTTGACAACCTGGTGGCCCTTGGGTGACGGTGCAAGTTGACAACCTGGTGGCCCTTGGGTGACAGTGCAAGTTGACAACCTGGTGGCCCTTGGGTGACGGTGCAGGTTGACAACCTGGTGGCCCTTGGGTGACGGTGCAAGTTGACAACCTGGTGGCCCTTGGGTGACGGTGCAAGTTGACAACCTGGTGGCCCTTGGGTGACGGTGCAGGTTGACAACCTGGTGGCCCTTGGGTGACAGTGCAAGTTGACAACCTGGAGAGACCTTGGGTGACGGTGCAAGTTTACAACCTGGAGAGCCTGTGGGTGCCGGTGCAAGTTGACAACCTGGTGGCCCTTGGGTGACGGTGCAAGTTGACAACCTGGTGGCCCTTGGGTGACAGTGCAAGTTGACAACCTGGAGAGCCCTTGGGTGACGGTGCAGGTTGACAACCTGGTGGCCCTTGGGTGACGGTGCAAGTTTACAACCTGGAGAGCCCTTGGGTGACGGTGCAAGTTGACAACCTGGAGAGCCCTTGGGTGACGGTGCAAGTTGACAACCTGGAGAGACCTTGGGTGACGGTGCAGGTTGACAACCTGGTGGCCCTTGGGTGACAGTGCAAGTTGACAACCTGGTGGCCCTTGGGTGCCGGTGCAAGTTGACAACCTGGAGAGCCCTTGGGTGACGGTGCAAGTTTACAACCTGGAGAGCCTGTGGGTGCCGGTGCAAGTTTACAACCTTGAGAGCCTGTGGGTGCCGGTGCAAGTTGACAACCTGGAGAGCCCTTGGGTGACGGTGCAAGTTTACAACCTGGAGAGCCCTTGGGTGACGGTGCAGGTTGACAACCTGGTGGCCCTTGGGTGACAGTGCAAGTTGACAACCTGGTGGACCTTGGGTGACGGTGCAAGTTTACAACCTGGAGAGCCCTTGGGTGACGGTGCAAGTTTACAACCTGGAGAGCCCTTGGGTGACGGTGCAGGTTGACAACCTGGAGAGCCCTTGGGTGACGGTGCAAGTTTACAACCTGGTGGACCTTGGGTGACAGTGCAAGTTGACAACCTGGAGAGCCCTTGGGTGACAGTGCAAGTTGACAACCTGGAGAGCCCTTGGGTGACAGTGCAAGTTGACAACCTGGAGAGCCCTTGGGTGACGGTGCAAGTTGACAACCTGGTGGACCTTGGGTGACGGTGCAGGTTTACAACCTGGTGGACCTTGGGTGACGGTGCAAGTTGACAACCTGGTGGCCCTTGGGTGACGGTGCAAGTTGACAACCTGGTGGACCTTGGGTGACGGTGCAAGTTGACAACCTGGTGGCCCTTGGGTGACGGTGCAAGTTTACAACCTGGAGAGCCCTTGGGTGACGGTGCAAGTTGACAACCTGGAGAGCCCTTGGGTGACGGTGCAAGTTGACAACCTGGAGAGACCTTGGGTGACGGTGCAGGTTGACAACCTGGTGGCCCTTGGGTGACAGTGCAAGTTGACAACCTGGTGGCCCTTGGGTGCCGGTGCAAGTTGACAACCTGGAGAGCCCTTGGGTGACGGTGCAAGTTTACAACCTGGAGAGCCTGTGGGTGCCGGTGCAAGTTTACAACCTTGAGAGCCTGTGGGTGCCGGTGCAAGTTGACAACCTGGAGAGCCCTTGGGTGACGGTGCAAGTTTACAACCTGGAGAGCCCTTGGGTGACGGTGCAGGTTGACAACCTGGTGGCCCTTGGGTGACAGTGCAAGTTGACAACCTGGTGGACCTTGGGTGACGGTGCAAGTTTACAACCTGGAGAGCCCTTGGGTGACGGTGCAAGTTTACAACCTGGAGAGCCCTTGGGTGACGGTGCAGGTTGACAACCTGGAGAGCCCTTGGGTGACGGTGCAAGTTTACAACCTGGTGGACCTTGGGTGACAGTGCAAGTTGACAACCTGGAGAGCCCTTGGGTGACAGTGCAAGTTGACAACCTGGAGAGCCCTTGGGTGACAGTGCAAGTTGACAACCTGGAGAGCCCTTGGGTGACGGTGCAAGTTGACAACCTGGTGGACCTTGGGTGACGGTGCAGGTTTACAACCTGGTGGACCTTGGGTGACGGTGCAAGTTGACAACCTGGTGGCCCTTGGGTGACGGTGCAAGTTGACAACCTGTTGGACCTTGGGTGACGGTGCAAGTTGACAACCTGGTGGCCCTTGGGTGACGGTGCAAGTTGACAACCTGGTGGACCTTGGGTGACGGTGCAAGTTGACAACCTGGAGAGCCCGTGGGTGACGGTGCAAGTTGACAACCTGGTGGCCCTTGGGTGCCGGTGCAAGTTGACAACCTGGAGAGACCTTGGGTGACGGTGCAAGTTTACAACCTGGAGAGCCTGTGGGTGCCGGTGCAAGTTGACAACCTGGAGAGCCCTTGGGTAAACCTTCAACTACCTGGTTGCGTCTGACCCTGATCCATGGCATACTATAGTCAGCACACAGATGTGCCATTTCAGAACTATTTCAACATACATGAAACTCATCCCTTTCAAAGAGATTTCCACCTTAATCGCTGATTGGCATTGTTTTCTTGTTGAAGAAAGAACAGGAACCTTCAGTGACAATTGCAGAATTTCTTACAGGATAATGAGTCTAGCACCTTGCACCACAGGCCTTAATCGTGAGAACTGTCTAATATTGTGTGTAGGCAAGGATGATAGGGATCATTATCCCAGGGAGATGAAGGGCAACTTCAGACATAGATGGCCAGACTCAATTATTGAGGATGGATCAACTGGCCCTATGTAGGACACAACTGACCCCATTGGTCACATGTAACATGTCAACCAGCCAATCATCTTGTTGATGCTATTCGTGTTCCCATGCAACATGTCAAGCAAAGGAT